TTAGTGCATGCTGGGTAATGATTCTTGGGATTCTACCGAGACTGCTTGCAGAGCAGAATGAGCTTCACAAAGGCACTTGTTCTTTAATAATGAGATTTAAGGTGTAGTTCTGTGTATCCAAAATAAAATAACAGCACAATTAATCTAGTCTACAGACTTGTGTGATATTTGCTTTTGCTAACTGGCCATGGCACCAGTAGCACAGCAGTGTATGCAACCTGAGCAGTGGAACCTAAGGGACTAAGTGGCTCACAAGTCAGAATTTCCAGTCTGCAAAAAATTGTACATTTCCGTTATATTTTTCCTTTTTGATCGGTGTGTGGCTGTGCCTTTTGGACAAGAGTAGGCATATCTCCCTCAGTGCAAACCTGGACATACTGTGGGAGTATGAAAAGAATTTATGGGCACGCTGCTGAGGAGGCTTGAGCAAGGAAGTACTGTGCAGCTTACTTGCTCACTAACATGTCTTCAGCAAATATGGCCCTGAATGTCTGTGCAATTACCCAATACAACATACCTTATAGAATTGCCCTGGAATGGATTACAACAGCTGTGCCTGCATCTATGCTCAGCTGGAGTCTCTTTCTGCATGAGCATGTCTGTGCATTTTAAGATATACAGCAGGATCAGCTGAATGCCTCCTTTTCCCCCAAGTCCATTAACTCAGATGATGTGCTAATTAGGTCACTGAGAAAATCAAAGATACAGAAACTGGGTTGAGTGTTCACGAACCTGCATGTAACTGCAGTATTTTAGTTTAATTTGTCTTAAGCAGTTTTTTGATATATCTGATAGCGTTACCCATAAAAAGGCAGGCTGCGTGTCAGGCAAACAACTCATAGAACACTTGAGTATTTTGAGCTGCTTGGGTGAAGCATTTGGTATTTCTCATATAAAAAAAGAGAATGTGACTTCTCTCTCAGTTAACTGCTCCTCTGTTTATGCCTTCATGATCAGAGAATAGCAGAAGTATCCTGCAGGAACCCTTTTGAAGAGAGGACAACACACTGCAATGATCCACTGTGCTAACCTTGTGCTGCAGAATGATCCTTGCTCTTAGCCCATAAAAATCTGGTGCGTTAGAACAGACTTGATGAAGGTGGAGAGGAGTGACTGCAGAGCCCATCCATTTGTTTTCTGCCTAAATAAAAGTGTTCAGTTGACCTCAGAAGTAGCAGATCAATCTGACACGCAAATGTATTTAATCTGCTCTTGGTGGGTTTGAATGTATTTCATCTATAAGAGAATATGCTATATATGTACACAGGTAAGACTGAGCGCATCTGCGTTCAGCTACAATTTGAGAGAGAGATAATGGACTGTAGGAGCACTTCAGGGCATTGCTACTTGGCAGGAACACACGTACTCGAAGGCAAACAAATTTGCTCAATATTTTTATGAGTCTCTGAGCTCAGCTGGTTCTGGCAGAGATGACTTAATCCAGAGAGGCAGTAGGGGAGAGCTCATTCCAACTTTCCCTTTATTTGGGAAATGGAACATGAGTAATGTCTTCCCAGACAAGAGGGAGCCAATGCGGTCTCCTTGCCATGCACAGCATGTCACACTGCTTCTCTCGTGTCCCTCCACTGCACCATCTAGTGCAGCTCCCTCATATGGCATAACCATAGTGTGAAACACAATTGTCTCTGGTGCAGCCATTTCAGCACAACCGCTCTGTACACTGTGGAATAGCAAATAAAGTAATAATCAAGAAAAAATCTCACAATAAATGCCATACTCACACTATAGGATTGCACTGAATTTGTCATTAGCAGATAATATATGTTAAATACAAAAGTACTAACTTCCCAGAACATTAGTGAAGCGAAAATTCTTTGTAAACCAGTAATTTCCCCTCTAAACATTCAGGTTAGTTCCCAGCACAAATTCTTCATGATTCAGTGCTTAAGGTTGAAAGGCCTCATCATTTGCTTGTGTCAGAAATCTTAGAACAGACGTTTACTCAGATGAGCGAAGTCTAGAAATTGTGGCTAAGATTGTGCTGCAGAGGTGAAACCAAGCTGCCACAAAGTCTGCAGGTAGGTGAGCATTTAGGCAACTGCAGATTAACAAGTTTCACCATGTCTCCTTCTTGTCTGGCCTTTTGGTCTTGATTGTTCTCCATTCTGTTCACCTGTAGCCATAACTGCTTTTTCAAGTAAATTACAGTGTGGCCTCTGCCTATATGATCACATTCAAAATGTCTCACTACCTCTCTCTTCTTTCATAGTCTTCTGCAACTAGACCATACCATCGCTATATAGAATTCATTGGCTGATACATGTTTATAATGCCAACTAATCTGTTCTGAACTTATGAATGCATCATTTGTACTGAGCATGCCTTTATTACATGCAAAACTGAGCTGGAGACCAAGTGACTCCCATCTCACTCTTCTTCCTGAGTTAGCAGTAATTCTTGGTGAGAAAACAAAACAAAACAAAACAGGAAGAATGGAATTTCTATACCGATCTACTTGTCATCCATAAAAAGACCATATATTACTCAATTTTTAAGAAATGAGCAGCAACATATTTCGGAATCCTGATATCTCCAAAATATATGGAGACTTTTTAGTTTGGAGTTTTCTAGCATTCTTGATATCAGCCGAGAGTCGGCATATGGGATGGTGAAAACAAAACTATGTACTTTCAAACAAGGAATTGTTTTTCCTTAAATACAGAATAGAAAAAAATACAAGTCTTTAAACTGCTCAACATTTAAAAAAAAAAAAAAAAGAGGAGAAACTCATATGAAATCCTTTATTTTAAGGATAAAAAGTTGTATTCTAATTACTTCAAAATGTAAGGTACTTAAATGCACACCTTACTTTACTGAAGTATAGCTTACTTTACATACAGGTGCATAATTATTTTCTTCAGGATTTAGGATGATGAAAAAACTGAAACATCATCTGAAACTGCTGACAAAGTATATCTGGCACAGTAACTTCCAGTATGTTGAAGAATGGTGTTTTATAGCATTTCAGGCCTCACCGACTTTAACTTGACTGCTGAAAACAAGGAGGTAACAGCCATATTGTGCTTTCCCTATATATTTGCACTTGGAGCACAGAGGGAAAAGACACAAGTTCAAGTGTGTTTGGTGCTGGCTCGTTATACAGTGTATAGTCTCACCCCGAGCACATGGGAAACGTGAAAGGACGGGAGGTAGCCATAGGCGCTAGCCAACATCATCTGTGAAAGATGCTTTTCCCTTTCAAGAGAAATTTCTTCCTTCTGGGAGTAAAAGAAAAGATGTAGAGATATTGTGGGTCTACTGTAGCTCTCTCCCTTGGGTTCCCCCAGTGGAAGGTTGGCTACATCTATATGATGGGAAGATTAGCTCTGAAACAGGACCCCAGTTTTAGCTGGCCTCTATTTTCATATATTTATTGATGTTATTCTGTTTTATGTGAAACTGTTGTGTTGGCTTGGCTTTGTTTTGTTTTTCTTTTTTTCCAAGTGATTTCACATTCTCGGAGGAAAAGACTATCCCATAACACTGGTAGAGCATCGTCTCTAAAATAAATGGAAGTTTGTGAGGAACCTGACATAAACGTAAAGAGCTTGCCTAGAAGAGATTTAGTAACGCCGAAGTTCATACAAACAGTGTAAGAGATGACATTTTAAACTTGGTTTCAGTTTGAAGCATTTCTGTTTTACAAAGTGGTCTTCAGTCACGTTCTGTTACTGGTAATAACAAGGCACTGCAGTATGTTTGCACAGGGACTGAATTAGCAGAGAATTTGATCTTAACACTAAGAAACGGAGAAATTATGTTCACAAGGTCATTCTGCTTTCCCTCTCCTTCTTGTGTGCGTGTAGGAAGGGGAATGGGAATAAATGTGTAGTGTCTCTTTAAGATCTACCCTAATCAATCTTTGATGCTTGTTAATGTGATGTTGTGATTAAAAGCTGTGATTCCTCCTTCATTTTTTATATTCATTTCCTCTCACAAAGTCTGTTTCTTTGTATGGCAGAAGTCCGTACAGACTGATCCCCAGACAATTTGTGCCGTGAAATAAATTGCTATATTTACAAATATAGAAAAGAGCAAACACATTGTGCAAGCAGGTAGAGAGGCTGCGAAGAGATGAAGATAAGGCACACAGCCAGCACTGTTTGGGGGAGAAGGGAAATTGTCACTTCTGTGGTCGTGGCTGCTGCTGCTGTGATGTGAGCTGCTGTGGGGAGGGGATGCAGCACCTCTCTGTGTTCCCGCTCCACTGCTGCTGGGGGCTCTGTGCTGCCGTTGTCACAAATAGGAGTGCTCATAAGATGCTGTTGTCTGCATTACCCTCTCCTCCTCCTCCCAGCTCTAATATGTCTCAGTGAGAACGGATTTTGTTTGTTTTCTGCTGCTAAGATTTCAGAATGTTCCAACCCTTCCGACTGGATTTGAGAGGTGTTGTTTAAGGGGGAATTCCACCGCTGCCTCAAAACCAGCCATTTGCTGTATCCTGAGCTGACCCTTCCTGAACATATTACATCAAGTCTGAAAAATTTTGCTGCAGGAGAGCAGCAGCCTATTCCTTTCTTAGAAATGGTTTCATCTATTCCTTGCTGTTTGCTTAATAACCTTTTGCTACTTGAACTGCCCTTTCTCCCAGATTGTTTTTTCATTGTTTCCCTGGGGTCTGACTATGAGCTGAGTGTATAAAAGACTTCCAAATGAGAAGAAAAAAACCTCCAGATATTTTAACAGTCCTATTTCAGTAAATAAAAATAACACTGTGTTTGATTAGCCAATTGCAATCATTTAAAGAACAGAGTGCCAAATATTTTTTGTAAACCCATGGCTTTTATTAGCAGCAGCGTTACTGTTGTAAGAGAATATGATCCTTTTCTGAGCCTCACAGGCTACCTGCATCCTCATATTTATTCAAAGCACTGCTGGATGGGCTTTGTAAGTGTTGTAGGGCTAATCCCTGTGGTTCCTCGATTATGAGCATGTGCAGAGCAGCCGAAGGTACAGTCGCGCATGTAGAGCTAACACACACACAGACTTGCCTTGCAATGCCATGTTTGTGCATGTGTTTCTACAACTGAGAAGGAAACAGGGAGCCTGCCTGCCTTGCTGACTTGTCTGATGTTTTCTTGTTTCTGTTTCAGCATTCAGGATAAATCCTTCAACACCACAGCTTTAGCAGAGTAAGTCAACACTTTAAAGATGTGCCTTATTTTTAAATAAGAGTGGTAGAAAATAATTGTAAGTACTCTGTGAGAGGTCCCCACCTTTCTGTCATATATCTTGATTCAGGTTTTTCTTAATCTAAGTATATTATTGAGACTCTGAAAAGAATTGCATAAAACAGCTGCCTTTACATGTTGTGAGACCATTTAGAAGTAAAGTACTTTTCTGGGAGGATATAAATTCGATGTACATCATAAATGTTTAAATGTATGATTTCAGTGTAGGATAAATCTCCTGTGAATGTATTGCTCATTTCTGGTACTGATGATCTTGACAAACACAAGTGTGTCAGAACGCATGCTCTGTATTTCCTGCATGTGTGAGTAGGAAAAACAATTATTTAAAAATATTAAAAAAAAAAAAAAAAAAAGACAACAAACACAAAAGCATCATTTAGATAGACCAGGCACCAAACAGATTGTTCCTTTGTAATTATTTCCATACAATCATTGAAAAGGTTCTCATCTTTATTGTGATCATAAGGATATATGCATTGATTTTGTTGCTGTTATAAAGAGACAACAGAAGAAGGTGAGGACATTAGAAAGTTACAAAGGCAAAGTCTCTAGGGAGGATTACAAATGAAATGATCTTTTTAAATTCCAGTTTAAAACACTTTAATTTAGATATTCTCTGTGTTATTTTGCATGCTTTTGATTGTTTCAAAAGCTTTTAGGGAAGACTCTTCAGCAGTAATGTACTAAGCAGTGTCTTAGGAAGGAAGTGATTTGTAGATCTGTTGTATATTAGATGAGTTTTACACTGCTAAAATGCCCATAATTTAAAAAGCCCTAGCTGGACTGCGATCTGTGTGCTTAAGTGTCATGGGGATGCATTCTAAAAGCAGGCCAAGCTGTAATTTAGTTTGAGCTATCACTCAGTACTGTCAAAATCACTAAAGGAAAAGGTAAGAAGCATTTATTGAGGAGGTCTAAATAATTTTTCTCTCCTACATTCTTTCTCTTGCTTTATTTGATATTTTACATCACTTGCTCTTTCTGTGTGATTGGGTAAATATGGGAAGATTTAATGGGGGATAATAAATCATCAAATCATTTTGAATTGTTTCCACGTGTCCCTATTATTTAAGTGATGAACTGTGGTATGTAAAATTCATAAAAGAATATCCAAATTTCAGGTACTGTATATATATATATATATACACATATATATATATATTTTGTCTCCTTTCCTTTGTACTGTGCCCTGACATCCATCTGTGTTTCCCACAGAGATTCCCCTGGCGTGGCCTGGTGCTGCCTGCCTCACCCTTGAGGTTTTCTAGGACATGAATGTGATGGTTTTGCTCATTGGAGCTTTGTGTGATCATAAAGACAAGGGCTTTCAGGCTGAGTGTGTGGCATCCCCTGGGAGGGGAAAGGGGTGCAGGCAGTGCTGTGTGGAGCAGAGAGGCAGCAGTGTGGCAGAGCAGGACTGTTGTCTGAAGGCTGAATCTCTTCATTTAAGCTGTTCTTGGTTTTGTTCCAGGGCCTTTAATTCATAATCTTATCTTACCAAACATAGAAGTAGAAACATGCTTTTAGAAAACAAAACAGACAGACAACATCCTTCAAAGAACACTGTCCAACTTGGTTTCCAAAGCTGATTTCCCTAGATTTCCTGTTTAAAGCCTGCCCCAAAGCCTGTTTCTGAGATCTGTTGAGAACACACAATTGTTACAGACTTCAGCACTCATTGTTTGTGCTGTGGCCATATCTGAAAATAGATTTCTTCTATTTAGCAGAATAAAGAGAGAGCTTGCCATGCAATGGTAGGCATTCCTATTTGACTTTGTTTATGTTGAAGGCTGGATGGTATACAACCAGTGAAACAATACTTTCAGGAACATATCTCCAGATAAGGCAAGTGCCTGGGGCTGCTGTGTTCCCAGCAAGCCATGCATGCAGGCCGATGGAGAAATTGTTCACAAGAACATCTTAAAGGTCAAGTTTGCAAAAGGAAGCAGTTTTCCAGCTGTACTGAAGTGGTTGCTATTGAAAGGTGAAAATGGAAAAAAAAATTAAAAAGACATTCCCACTAAACCGTGTCTGGAATACAGAGGCACTGCTAGGGAGACAGAGCAAAGTCTGTGTAGATTGGGATCCCAGTCTTTATGTCAGTGGCCAACGTCCTGCCCATTGTAAGCTTCAACCCCTGTAGTTTTATGCCTTGAAGCTGTTTATGTGTATACTTGATGTTTCAGGATTGAGTAAGATGCTGCTGCAGTTTTTCTGTTGATGACATCTAGTCCACATGGCCACAAGCTTTTAAAAAAATATATCAAACTCTTGCATATCCCTCTAGCTGTTAAAGACAGGTGAAGTTGCACAGTGAGGTTTAGAAATGGAAGGAGAGGAGGGTGAACGTGTGTGTGCTCATATGCGCAAACTGGTGTCAAGAACACATAAGCTCCATTTCTTAATGAAACCAAGGTGAAAACACTCTGTGCTTTCATGGTGACCATTTTCATTATATCACGAATTCATCTTTTTAAAAGTCCTACTACGGTCTTGGCCTTAAGCAGTGTCTTGTGTGAGTGAGTTTTGTCAGTTAATATTTATCCTTGCTGATAGAAAAAAATCTATTCACCCTTTCAAATTTGGTGCTTCTGAACTTCCCCACAATCTTATTCATTGCATGATGGCCACCGTCTTCTATGATTTATTAGCGCTAATCTTTTCTATCTACTGGTATCTTGTTAGTCAAATACATTTTGTCATGCTCAGTTGGAGTATTTGTAACTTGTCTTCATTTATGACTGTACTAGATGCTTACTTAGGCTTTCTGCTTCTCCAGCTCACCCTTATTACAGACAGCTGAGAGCAGGTGATCCCTTGGCATACTTGCCCAAGTTAAGAAGTACTCACACAAATACGCACACATGGACTTGGCTGTGTTCAGTTGCCCACCATCCTTCCAGAGGGAAGGGGATAACCGCACCCACTGCAGGAATATTATGTGATTAGGTGGAACATGCAACTGTAGGTATGTATTCCAGTTGCATGCAGCAAATGCTTTCATCCAAATGCTGATCTATTCAGGAAGTGTTAACACTTGAATGTCCCTTTAAATAATTTCTGCAGCAGTCAGGCTTTTGACAAAAACAGGCAGAAGACTGGTGGGGAAGAGGAATACATTAAAAATCTTGCCATCAAATTGCAATGCAGAGCTATGAAATTATCACTTAATGTGCTCTGTCCTAAGCTGGGCAGCTCTTCTAAAAATTTAATAAGTCAGCAGAAGTACAGCCTGCTTCTCCCGTAATGAAGAGATTCTTCTGCCAGCTGACTTCCAGTGATCCAGGCCTACTTAGTGCCTGCACCCTGTGAGTATGAACAGAGGGTGAGGAGAGGGCCCCAACTTCTCCCCAGAAATAATACCTGGGAAGGGTATGTACTTATTTGTTGGGAGTCTGTGCAAATACATGTATATTTATTTGAAGAAAAATTGTTTTTTGGCTTTGCAGTTGTTTAATTCTTTAAAGTTAGTGCCCAGTATACTGCTCATCACCAGTATTTTGCATATATATGTAGAAATTCTCTGTTTGATTATGCAGTCCTAGGGCAACTGTGCTGTTTTTTACCTATTGGGATGGAATTGATTATAATTTTTCATGCATTTTAAAAAATTCTGACAGTTCCCTTTTAAAGATTAATGATCATTTTGTAGTTTATGTGGGGATTCCATTCCCTGCTGCTCAGAGCACAAGGAATGACTGCTCTACTGTTGCTAATGTTTTTGTGAGTCTGGGAGAAATTGTCTCTAATTATTATTGTGTTACATGAAGTATATTTTAAGAAATTCGAACTCAGACTTTCTTGTAATTTTCCCAGTAACTTTTGAATTCTTTGTCATCGTTACTTTCAGCTGGCTGAAAAAACGTATGCCAAACTGTGTACAATCAACATTTCAAATCCTTTTCTTCCTCTGAGATTGAGACTTAGAGATTTAGATCTGTGGAGAAGCTGTGGCATTAAAAGAAACCAGCCAAGGTGTGAGAAAATGAAATGCGTTTATGCTTAGTTTGAGCTGCATGGTCATGATTATTGAAAGCTAAATTTCTGCAGTAGCAGAAACTATTTATCAGCAATTATTTTGTATCCATTTCCAAGGTGTGATGAGGATTCAGATTCTGTTTGTGGAGCTCACGCAGCCAGTTCCAGCCCCAGGTATTCTACTGCAAATTTTGTCTGAAATACACTGGCAACAAGTAAAATCGCCAGAGTGCATTTTTTAAATTGTTAGAAAGAAACCTTTATTACCAAGAGAATGCATAATCTCTAAGGTATTACCTGCTGTAACTATTACTACCTTTGGGAAGTGCATTTTTGTTGTAGATATTTATGTGTAAGCAGTATAAGAATTAAATATTTTTATATAAATAATTATATTATGTTCTATGTTTCTTAACTTAAAATCACAATTAGTTTCATTCAGGTGCAGCTCTGATGCTATTACATTGAATTCCTCTGTACAGCACCCGATACAAAGCAATAATAAGTGGAGCTGTGTAACTGTGCAAGGATATACACATTGAAGAGTTCTTGTGGGGGGAAAAAAAATCCTTCAGACTAATTTAATTGAAGTATTCTTGACATATGAGTCTCTCATCGCTGTGCCCGTCTGTTAATTGCTAGATGATGCAACCTTTTGGAAACATTCTTTGAATCAGACAATACCTTAAATTTAGCAACATTTTACATTGTTGGAATGCCCATAGGATATAAAGCAGCCTACCCTGTAACAACTGCCTTGGAGGACACTTGCAGAAAGCGTGGGCAGCAATGGTTTTAAGTCTGTAAACACCCTGCAAGCATCCATCTGGAGGCTGTTGGGTCACAGATGGAAAGTGAGTTTGGCAGCTCAGAATCCTTAGGTTAAAATGTTGTATTAGCAAGATAGCATTTCTCAAAAAAATAAAACAAAACCCTAAGGGCATTTTAATTCAGTATCCCCTAGAATCCCTTGGTTGTGTTAGGTGCACACCAGGAAAGAGATAATTTCTCAGTTAACCCTTATTTGACCAGCTAAAGCTAACATCTAGATTCCCCCAACAAACTAAGCAGCAGCTGGGGACTTCAAAGCAGTAGTGCCCATCTGCTCATCCTGCCAGCTGCACAGGCAGTCTTGCATCCCTCAGGGAATACATTAATCTGCGAGAGATTGGGTTGGATGGGTGCAGATAAGGACAGAAAGGTCTTCTTCAGGGCACGTTTTCACCCCGTAGAGTAGGCAAAGTTCAGTGATTTCCAGAATATCCACAAACAATGTCTATTTAAACCAGCAGAAGGGGGACTACAAACTGGTAGCACATTTTAAATATTCCTTCTATCCAAACATCTCCCCTGTTTTTCAGATCCTACTTTGTGTGTAACCTTCCTTGCTTTCTGTAAAAGCCCTCAAAATGTTAGAAAGAAATGTCAGAAGGGAAGTGTGTCTGTAGGGAGAAATTACTCTACATACCATCATTTATGTGGGATTATAAATCAGCGTGAAGCATTGGACAGGGAGGGGTCTGCTGCATGAACAAGTTTCAGGACTTATTTGGGGAGTATGAAATGTAGCACTGAGGGCAAAGAGTGCCTCCAAAACTAGTCTTATTCAAATGGCTCCCTAACCGAACAGGTAACAATATGAATGGCAGTTTAGCTTCTGAATTTTCAATAAACAGTAGCTTCTTATAATCATCTTACTAACATATGCAGTGTTTGTTTGGTGTGTAGAGAACGGCCTCATAAAATTAAATCACCATGAGTAGCTAAGTTCTTGTTGCTGTTCTTCATAATGTTTTGACAGGTGTCTGAAGTCCTGTCTAACGGATTTCATTTTAATTCTCTTACAGAGATGATGATAACAAAGAAAACTATCCAGACAACACAGCTATCCTAGAAGAAAGGTGGCCGCCTTTGCAAGATACTCAGCAGCAGAAGGAGCAGGCTTTGAAGCCTGACATGGGCAACTTAAAGCTAAGAAAACCTAAGCCTGTCTCAAAGTTAGAAAATGGAAAAGGCCACGAGGAAAGTCAGGTAAAGACTGAATTTACTAATGTCTGAGCAAACACTCATTTTGAAATGCAAACTGAGAATGAAAACTGAAATCCATGACGTGATTATGATTCTACGGTAGTCTACTCCAGTTTTCAGGGACCTGGAGTTCTGTGGCACTCCTGTAATGATAGGCTATTCCTTGGAGGCAGGGAATTGCAGAGAGGTTGCAGGTGTTGTCAGAAGTGAGTAGAGAACATATCTCTAGAAGTACAAATCTCTTCAGATTACCTGTGACTACTTGATTAAATTCCTCCTGTTTTATTTGAATGAGAATCTCTTACAGTAGTATTTTGTCTGCTTGTGGAAAGGTTTGATATGTCTTACTTTCTGTTTTTCTCACGCTTCAATAATTCCTCAATTCCAAAAGACTACAGAGTCTACTACTACTGCTCTGCCCATGGGTTTCTTTGGCATGAACTGAGGGGAGGAGAAATGTAATTTTTCTAAAAGCTACAAAAAAAAAGAAGAAAACGGGTATAAATGAAGAAGCCTCTGCAGCCAATGGTTCATATATATTGCTGCATTGACTTGAGATTTACCACCCTGCAGCATTTCCTGGTTGTGCCTCTGTTCCCTCCTGGTGTTTCCCAAGTTGTGTCTCATGTGCAGTGTAAAGGATTGAGCTCTCCTCCAGGTTTCACTCTTCAGCAAAAATATTCTCATGACTGGGACCACTGATGTTAACTTTGGCATACTGGCAGCCTGTAGCAGAGATGAGGCTTGTGAGATGTCTGTAGTTTATCTCTTCTTTTATGTTTGCTGTATTTGGCTGTTTTTTGTCTCTTCTTGTTTGTGGATGGAAATTTGTAGAGAGCTTTCTGAAGTGCTTGGAACTCTTCACAGACCAGGAGTGATTATGATCCTTTTTTTTTTTCTTTTCCCAATTTAGAATGAGAACTCATTGTTTAGGATGGCATGCCTTTCATTTGAGATGAGGAATGTCTTTTTGGATCCTGAAACAAAATCAAAAGCCAGTAACATTCTAGTGGCATTACCACAGTCTCTTTCAGAACATTGGTATCAGCTCTTTCCCTAATCTTCTTGCATGCTTTTTCTGGAGTTTATCGCCAAGATAAGTAATAAAGTACTAACTTCTGCATTTTTTTTTAAATTTTGTAGATGTATTGTATTACTAGGAAATACTATGTAAGCTGCAGGTAGATGAGATATACCTGCTTATTGGCAGATAAACGATTGGAAATTTTGCCCTACAAAGGGCAAATGGAGACAGAGTTGTGAGGAAGTCATAAGAAAGGGCAACATCTGTCCCATACATCATCTCTTGCTCTTTCAACTACTTTCAGTCTGAGTCTCCTGTCTGCCCCCTTCCTATGTCATGCCTGCATCTCTCACTCAAAGTCAGCTAACATAGCACAGATTTGCTGCTCCATAGTATTTTATGTATCCTAAAGATGTTAAATGAAAACGTTTTCTTTCATGGGAAATTTTTTGTTCATATATTTAGACTGTCATAAAATAGCAGTGCAACTCAGATGTGTAGTCTTGGGAATAAAACACAGTATCCGGCAAATAATTTTCTAGGGCTTAACTTTGGAAAAACAAGATGTTTAACATGCCTGTGAAAAACAAGGCTCCACTTGCAGAAGTGCTCTGGAAAGTGTTTGTTTTCTGTGTGGAGTTTCTCGCTGAGATCCTTGTTGTGTTGTGACCTTCAAAACCCTACTGCAGCCCTTAATTTTAGTTGGTCACATCTGCCTGTCTCCATTTTGAAGCTGAAAGTGATTTCAGCTATTTCAGCTCCTGTTTATGTGTATGTGGTTGTTACCTGGAAAAGTGGACCAAATTGATGCTTTCAGAAACTGTGCAACTGTATATACTTTCCTTCTGTGAAACACCTTGCCTCCAAGACATTCTGAGAGATAAATAACGTACATACAACTAGCTGATATCAAGCTGACAAACAATAATGTTACCAGATGTGTTGTAAATGAAAAGTATGATGCACTGCAAATGGTGGCTAAACTGTTCATCCTCATTTTTCTGGGTTTCTTGATACAGAACACTTTTTCAATGGACTCCTCACTTTCCTAGCAGAAGTTTTCTGTGACATCAAAACCAGAATGTGGCAATATTGCAGTGACAGTATCTTTTTAAAAGATGTTGCCCTGATAAGCCAAGAATGCTTTCTGCTCACAACTATGTGCTGCTATTAGCTGTAGTTTTAGAAAATAGTCTCCTTAAAATCAGAAGAGACTTCTGGTAAATAAGTTTGCAGCATGTGTGGAAAGGATTTAAATCTGTTTGAGTGGAAAACAAGTTGGTGTGTTTCTACTGGAGAGAATCCAGGTGATTTCCATTGTAGAAAGGACACTCAGCAGGAACAGGCATCTGTGCTCTTGTAGGGGAAGATGGCCAGCATGGGGATTTGGGGCTTCACAAGGCTCAGCTGTGTTGAAGTGTGATGTTTGTGCCTGTTTTTTTATGACACAAGTGTAATACTGTGTACACATAGCCTAGATCTTGTTGAATAAAAGGTTACTGAATTTGCTATGATGATTAACAGAACAAAATCTAATAATAAAAGTTCAATACCAGATGACTTCAGCTGACCAAATATCAACTGATACAAAAACATTAAAGAAAAGCTATTCCTTGGATACTGTATGCACTTACTTCTTTGGAGGCTAGAGCTGGGTGTGGGGGGGATCTGTAAACTTTTCGTATTGAAAAAGAGGCAGGCTGCTGGAATGTGGTTCTGCCTCAGTATTCCAGCTACTTGGGTTCATCTTTGCTGTTGTTTTCAAGAACTTTTCTTTTTTATCAGTTCTGCAGCACTGACCTATAGAATATCAAATTAAATAGGTATTTTTGTGTTTCAAGATCTAAAGAAGCATGTATTCAGAATAGCCTTAGGAAGGACAAATGGCAAGGAATGGAAAGCACTCTTTCCTAATGCTTTCGCTATCATTCACCTTTGGTGCACAATGATCACAGAACCACCAAGGTTGAAATAGACCTACAAGATCATCCAGTCCAGCCATCACCAACAGTTCTCACTAAACCATGTCCCTCAACACAAAATCCAAACGTTCCTTGAACACCTCCAGGGTCGGTGACTCTACCACCTCCCCAGGCAGCCCATTCCAGTGCCTGACCACCCTTTCAGAAAAGTAGTATTTCCTAATGTCTTCTTTGGCATAACTTGAGGCCATTCCCTCTAGTCCTATCACCAGTTACATGAGAGAAGAGGATGATCCCCAGCTCACTACAACCTCCCTTCAGGTAGTTACAGAGAGCAGTAAGGTCTCCCCTGAGCCTCCTCTTCTCCAGACTGAACAATCCCAGCTCCCTCAGCTGTTACTCATAAAGCATGTGCTCCAGACCCCTCACCAGATTTGTTGACCTTCTTTGAACCCGCTCCAGGGCCTCAATGTCTTTCTTGCAGTGAGGGGCCCAAAACTGGACGCAGTACTCGAGGTGCGGCCTCACCAGAGCTGAGTGCAGAGGCATGATTACTTCCCTGCTCCTGCAGGCTGCACTGTTTCTGATACAAGCCTTGATGCCATTGGCCTTCTTGGCCACCCAGGCACACCGCTGGCTGATGTTCAGCTGAGCATCAATCAATACTGCCAGGTCCATTTCCTCTACATGGTCTTCCAGCCACTCTGCCCCAAGCCTGTAGGGTTGCCTGGGGTTGTTGTGGACAAAGTGCAGAACCTGGCATTTGGTCTTGATTATCTTCATCACACTGGCTTTAGCCCAGCTGTCTTACCTGAGACAGTGCTCTCAATATATGAGTATATGAAATGTATTTTGCTGAAGCAAATTTACGACTTGAATGCAGCTTTGGTTTTGCATCTTAACTGGACTGAATTTCTTTGACACATTGACTTTAATAGCCTAACGTTAAAAAGATTATTAAGATAAGCTTCCATACTACCCACAGTTCTATTTTTATCAGTTTTAATAGCTGTAGTGGTCAACTTTTGAATCCAAGCAGATATAAACATGATATTTATTCCCCTGTAAATGCAGTATGGACATAACCTGTGGCTGGACACACATGGTGTATCTTAGAGGTAGCACATGACTGCTGCCCCTCAAGTACCTTACAGTGTAATGGTGACAGCTGCCTCTTCCTGAAAATAGATTTCAATGTTATCAGTATAGATCTCATAGGCCAAGTAGGAGAAATTAATGTTTTCTAATTCAATAAATATGCTGATAATTTATAAGAGGACTTTGGCTAAATTAAATCGTAATAGTATAGTTAAAATATCATCACAAAGAGGAAGTAAAAGGCCAGTGATTGTTTTTTTAATTAATTTTCACCAGATCTTTTTATGAATTCTTTTAGTCCTCCAACTTCAATTTTGAGAGGCAGTTCCTGAATATTTCTCCTGAGAGAAGAACCCTTAGGAAACTTCCTTACATTATAAAACTTTTAATAAAATTTACAGTTTTTAAAAAGTGTGATTTACTTTTATTGAAGTAGTGTACCTCTAAGCAAACTTCATTCATAATATTCAAAGATGGAACAGACTACAGAAATAATTAAAAAAAAAACAAAAAAACAATGATGGTTTTTGCAGATGTAGAATGACCCCAGCACTCCAAGTTCCCATGCAAGTGGTCCTACCCCATGATCAGACCTTCAAGCTTCTAACTAAGCCTTAAAAATGAAGCAAAATCAGAAATATTTCAACAGAGGAAGTGAATGCTTTTCTTTTGCAAAGCACTCTGTATTTCAGTTTGGAAACAATTAGAATAAAACATTGACTGATAAAAACTAATTAAAAAAAAAAAAAACAAAACTGATTTAATTTTCAAACAACTTCGTTAACTTACCTGTTGGCAATGCAAGGGAGATATTATAACCCATTTTATAGGTAAGGGAATTAAGACATGCTGAATAACTTGTCATACACATGTAATTGGTATTTGGCAATTTAAAGTAAAAATCTTTCTAATTCCTAGTTCTGGCCTCAGTTTGTTGGACTTTTTTGTTTTTTGTATGGCAAGGTGGCTGATGTGGCTTTTTTTCCTCAGACTTTCACTAAGAGGAAGTAATTTCAATTTAAATGCAAATGTATATTTAAAGAAAAAAATATTGACTGCTGTGTGTAGCACCTCTTAGCTCATATTCCTACATCTGTTATCTAATACACAACAAACGGCTTACAATGGCTTCTTGTCTGCTTTGGATACAAGAAGTCTTTTTCTGAGAATGAAAATGCTGCTTTATTTAAAACCTTTTTGTGTTTTCCAGTTGTTTCCAGATTATTTGCAAAAAATAACAATGATCTACAAATCAGAATCCAGTTTCACGGACCTCTTTCTTTCTTAAAGCAAAATATTCAGCTACATTTGATCAGCACTGACAGGACATAGAATATTGTTGTTGTTTCCTTCAGGAGCTGGAGAGTTCATTGCCAGGCCTCCCAGAGCGGCAAGGGAAGGCAGGATCCTCAGCTAATGACTGTGCATGGAATGTGGATTTTAGATGCCAGGAAGCTGTTGTGAGATTTCAGCCAAGGTAAGCTTTGGGATAAGAGAATGCATTTCACTTCTAATTAACTGTAGGAAAGGCTAATTCATTTGCTGTCTGCTGTATAAGATATTCAGACTCCTGTCTCCCATTGGCAGTTGTATTCAGTATTTATATGCCAAGAACTGTTTGGAGAAAATGAAAGGGATGAAGATAAGAATGCAAATTTCATCCACCTTTAAATCCCCTATATTGCAAGCTGCATGAACATCCTTGCTTCAGAAATGTCTGTTCCTCTGTGCCAAGTTTCAAAAATATCTCAACTCTTTTATTTTTACTGTTTTTTCCCAGTGCTGACTTGCCTCACTTTCTCAGAGCTGTTTTCTTGCTGAGAAATGGAAATGTGAAGCAGCATACCTGATTTTGGTATGGGTGTACATTTATGCATAGTTTACATTCCTCTTGTTTCAATGCTGTGAATGTGCCCCCTTCAAAGGGGAGACATTCAGTCCAGGTATTAGTCAACTTTTGACCAGAGGCAACTCAGGAGAACATGAAGTAACTCACATCTGGCAGCTACACGTAGTCAAAATTCTATTCCCAAGCCTCCATAGATAAGCAAAAGGCTAGAAATGGGGCTTCAACTCACCCAGCTGATCCAACTTACCAGTAAAGGCTCTGCTGTTATTAAGAAGCTTAGACTGTGTAAATAAGACTGTGCTCTTCACAATTATCCTTTTTTCGGGCACTGCTTTATGGATTTCACAAGCTCAGCTGCTGTTCAGCCCTGATTTACTGTTTACACAGAGTTTCAAACAGACAAGTTGGAGCTCTGATCTTTATTTCTGCCTGTATGGGAACTGCTGAGTCACAGCCTGAACCTTTGATTGATCACCTGAGGTGAGAAATGATTCAGCCAGAGGAGCACAAGTGAAGGCAATTCACCTGTGCTGCCGGAAGGGGTGGACTACTGCTGAAATGTGTATGATAGCCTTAGTGCTCTGATTGCTTCCACAGCAGCACTATAACAAGGGACTCTGGCTGGAGTCAGCAGTAGCTGTACAATCACAGGGATGCTCATTGGGTCAGGACAGAGGTAGTGAACATACGGAGCTCGTTGCCTCCAAGATCTGTTTCAAGTCAGGGCTAGGTTAGCTGTGACAGTTGTTCTCCAATTATGTTTTAGTGCTTCATGTGAAAGGAGCCAGTTGCCTTCACAACAGCTTTTAGTAGGCAGTATTGTAAGTGATACTAACTTATGTTCTTGGAGGAAATTTTAGCAGCATGTCTGAGCATTTAATTAGCTTTCATGAACAACTACTTTCACCATCCAATGCTTGCATTTGCCACTGAGACACTACAAGTCCTGCTTCTTGGAAAATGTTTCTAATTAGCCCCAGCTTAAGAAACTTGAAGAAACTTGCCTTGTACTTCTCTGATATTCTTAACTTGTGGAAAAAAATCACACCAATTTATTTTAAGGAAGAGAACAGTGAGTTTGGTTATGAATGAGTTAGACCTACATAGCAGCTCTGCTGGTTTTGGATGGGTAATGAAATGTAATGTTAGTTAATTTCAATTGATGACAGAAATGTAATGAAAGAAAAGTGGATTTTAAACATAAAAATCAGAGTAGAGTGTGCATGAATGAAACAGCAACTATGGCAAAGTTCTCCTGTCCACTTCAAAAGTTCAACCTTAGTTTTTTGGATGTGAAACCATTGCTCACTATGCTGTTTACTCCTGTATAATATCAGGGTAGCTCCTTAGGAAGCTCGTTACTTACAAGTGCTATTTCTGTTAAATAGAGGCACCTGGATTTGTTATGCTAAGAGTTGTGAAAATGTAGTGATAGCATCTGAGGTCTGGCCATCTCATACTTTGATTGCAAAGCAAAATGAAGGTGACTTTACTCCCAGATTAGGGACTTTGAGCATGGAGTAAACATGTTAAGTTGTGGTCCTTAGTCTCATGCACACACTGTATTCAATTTAACTGTCTTAGCCATCTTTAGAAAAAACTTTCCACTACCTGGATGGAGTGAAGGACTTTGAATTACATGTGCTGCAGTTATTGCTTTCAAGTCTGAGATTCACTCTGGCTGGTGACTCCTCAGAAGAGCCACCAATAGCTTGCCCCAGTTCTTTACCATTAACAAGCTTTGATAGGGCCTTGTCATTGCGTGCCCTTGTCTCAGGTTGTGTAGATCACTGGCTCCTGTGTTGGAATCACAGAACTGGCTTGTGCAATGAACTGTGAAACACAGCTGCCAAGGTACATCGTGCTTTGTTTTCTGCTTTCCCTGTTCTGGAACATGGCAAAGGTTAAGCATTCAGGCTTGGGCACAACTAGACTTCGACAGAAAGCATCTGCTAGCCTTGCATAACTTGAGTTTCACTGTCTTCTACTCTGATCTTGCTAGGTTAATGGTAAAACTAAAAATCCTTTGTAACACTGCAACTTTGAGGGATCCATAAATCACAAACCAAAAGCTTTCTGCTCTTTTGGAGGAGATGACCACACTGCTGCAGGGGTGCCATGGAGCAGGCTTCTCTATCACATGTGTGGGGAGGACAGGAAAAGAAGGATTTATTTCTGCCTTGTACTAAGAAGAAAGGTTCACTATTTCTAGTGAGATATGTTCCTTCTGCTTTAGTTTGATTTCTTCAGATTGATATATCTCTGCAATGAGTCTCAGTGCAGCTTGAAATCTAAATACCTCTGAATTGTACAGGATTTGTCTTGAAATCTGTTCTAGTCAGGCAAAAATAGGATAATTTTAATTTGTCTCGATGTGGATAAAAAACCACAGAGATACAAATAAAAACTCTGGGGTACAACCAGGGCTTCCCAACGTTTCCTTGCTCCCTTCTACATGGGAGAGCAAACTCTAGCAGTAGTATCAAAGTTCTCAAGGCAAGTAGCTTCTGAGAGCGCAGTTCAGTGGGGACTCACGTAACTTCCATGTTTTTTGCTGAACAGCTACAGCTTTGGGATGTATGGGAAGGAGCAGGGAAGGTGCAGAAGTGCTGATATCCCTGTGCCATAGGACAGAGCCACATGGGTGAGGCAGAGCTGGAGAGGCTATATTCCCATGCAGATAACCAGGCAAGCCAGGAGAGAACCTGGCCAGATCCCTCTGATCTGGCAAAAATTCATCATGACCAGTATGTTTCTGTGTATATTTCTGTATCTGCAAATTAAGATTAGATGATGAAACACTGCTATGCAGGGAAATGACAGATCTCTTCCTATGTTCCTAAAAGCAATTTCTTCAGGAGCCTTGATATTCAAATATTGGTGTTCAAAGTTCCGATTACAGTTCTTATATCATGGAATGGAAAATTCCTGAGTAAGCTCTTCAGCTGTCATATGCCCCTTCCTCCCCCCCTGAGACAAAAGAAAAGAAGAAAAAAAAAGAAAAATAAAGAAAAAGAGTGGATGCAGAGGGGCAAAAATGTCAACACATCACTGTATCCTAAGTAAGGACTATGCCTTGTGAGCACGAAAGGCTCTCATAATGTAAGAAAAGTAGTTGTGGCAGTCAGCCAAAGCCAGCTTTTTCCAAAGTGCAGTAGCTTGAGAGAGAGACTGCTCTACTGAATCTCTGTGTATCTGCTTGCTCCAGCATTCAGAGACAGCCCATAGAGCAGCATAGGATGTGTCCAAACACTTTTAGGCCCTTAAAGGTGTTGTTTCTTACATTGTGAATATGCACTCTGTTAATGCAAAAGCCTCTTGTAGTTCTGCTTTGCTTTTTAAAGATTCGTAGGCAAACTTCTTATGCATTTACTTGCAGCCATGTAGTAAGGTGGTGACTATGTTAGAATTTCATAGTGCTTTTTGCTGTTTGTTGGGAGTCTCAGAACAGATGTTTCTATTTCCCTGACTCTGAGATGTGTTGGTTGTGGGTAACCTGTTGATAGGCTGAATCAATCTCTCTTATGTGGTAGGGAGACTACCTTTTCTGAGCTGTTCACCTGGCAGGTCATCCTCATAGTGGGCAGGGTAAAACTGATGGCAAGACTGAAGGTGGGGAAAGAGTGTTGGCCCAGGATAGACCAGAAGTGATTCTGGAAAAGATCCATTCCATAGCATGGGATGTGGTTTGATTTCAAGGAATTATCACTGGTAATATCACTAATGTGATACTTGGCCCAAGACACCATGTGCATGTGGCACTGTAGTGCATAAATAAATAGGTCTCCTGAGAACAATGGTAGTAAAACTCAGGGTTAGACTGATTTAAATGACTGGATTCCTGTACCTGATCCGAGAGAACTGGGAGGAGCGTAAAGGGTGGAGATTTGCAGATTAGAGAATATAATGCTCCTTCCTGCTTTTAATCTGGGAAATGAAAATGAAATTTGCTTGGCTTATGTTTAAATATTTTTCCTAGTTTTTAAATCTATGTAGTTTTATTTGAATTTTATGTGAGTTTAGAAGTAATATCTGTATCATGCATAATTCAGCAATTCACTTGTTCTGGTCTGTTTTTCAAACAGCTCACTGCTCATGCAAATTCATCTGCCCTTGAAGTCTGTTAGGAGCTCTGGTATGATAATTAACTTTTTAAATTTTTTTAATGTCCACAAGCTTCAAATGTACACGTTATTGGATTCAATCTTTGCATCTGTGCAATAGCAGAATTCTGCCAAAGCCAGAGTTGCCAGACTCCATGAAGAGTGTGAGATAGGGCTTTCTCTATTTCAGTAAGGATGGTATCGCATATATATGAATAGCAGCTGTAGAGAGAAATGTATTTTCATTATTTTACGCAATGTCAGTAATATGTAATATGAATCACCTACAGTTATTCATGTTGAGGTTTAAAACAATTTTAGTGCTCTCAGCACAGATGGGAAATTAGGACTTTGTTACTGCTGCTTTTGAAGTTAATGGATATTTTGTGATTGTTTTTTTTTTTTTTTTAATGAGCGTAGGATCCAACCCTTAGTTATTAAATCGTAAGCCCTTGTTGCCTGACAACACTCAGATAAACTGCATTTGCCTAGTGGGGCATTTGGTCTTAGTGGAAACAAAAAAAAGGCACACCCCAGAACTCTGTAGAGTAGGACCAGCTCAGCATATTTACTGCTAGTGTAAATCATTTTCAGACAAAAATGGTTATTTGCTTCAGAGATTTCAGAAAATGTCTGGCATCTCCAAAATCCCACGAATGCAAAACTGGAAACATCTCCCTCTAGTATTTCAGTGAAATAGAATAGGAAAACGCAATGCGTCTGCACCCCTAAAAGTAGGTGAGAACATCAGCCTGAATGAGAGAGGGGGGAGCTGTGCAGTTTTTAGTCTCTGAAGTGCAAGATTCATGAGTGACGTAGCTGTGAGCATAGCATCAAGCAGAATATCCTACAGTGCCTGTGAGAACTGCTTCTTTTGTTAAGGAAGTTATGTATTACTCTGAAAAGAGTTATTCAAATGGGTACCAGAAGAGCACAAAGCTGACGTGTCCTTTTATTCTTTGCCTTGTGTCTAGCACTAGTTCAATGTAATAAATCACTTTTTAAGTATATTTTTTGTAGCCTTGCAGGTTGTTCCTTACATGTTACTAAACCAAACTGTAAATAACATTTCACTCTTTCCAAATAAATTGGTTTAGATCTCTCCATAGTGTTTTCATAGTGTTTTAAAACTTCATAGTGTTTTAAAACTCTTCTGCTGTCTCATATTTTCATTTCTGCTGTGTAAAAGCTAGAGCTGATGGGCACCAACCTTTTAGGCTATGGCTGCATCTGCCTGGATGTGGCACAGTCCTCATGCTAGCAGCAGTCAGTGGGAAGAGGTTTTCCCCTTGCTGGTCCAGGACCTTCCTTTTCTATTTCCACATGGAGAAGCAGCGGAGAAGCTGAGGGAAAACAAAGCTGTGGATGCCACTGGGGGCTGCTAAATGACATTTAGTACAAAACATAGAAATCTCTCTTGCTCAAAGGATTTCCATCTACTTGTGAGAGTCCCACAGCTCTGTGTGAAATTTGCAAAAGATAATTTTAAGCAGAAAGCTGAAGGTTGAGAGCCTGAAATGCCATCAAGTTTAAATATGGAAAGGCTTATTCTTTATGGCTCTGATAGAGGAAAATCCTTGTTCTTAAAGCATGTGAGACAAATAGTGCTTAGTTCTAAACATTTGAACTCTTTTTGGCTTTGACTGTCATGACACCAAGAACCGCTGGTGCTGCTGATGGACTCTGTGTAACACAGTGAACTTACACTCTAACAACATAGTTTCCAGGTTCTCATTCACAGTTTAAATATAGGTTTTGCAGAATTCTGTAAAACCACTGGTATTTTTTTTTGCATGAGGTATAAAATATAGAAGTTTCATAGAAATGTTATTTTTCCAATATCTTATAACTTGTAATTTATGTACAAATGTGATGAAGAGTCTAGAACATTTGTTACATAAACAAGAAATCTACTGATAGAAAAGTCTTGTTTTGTTTTGTAGAATTGATCAAAACACATGTGTTTCACAAAATGAAGCAACCGAGCAACTATGCAGCTCAAATGAGGTAAGTGTGACCAGAAATGGAAATATGATGTTAAAATTTTGAATCAAATGATCAATTTTTTTTTCTCAGCACCTGGGATAATACAATCACTTGAGAATTCTAGATTATCTTTTTAATGAATCATTTCAGCCATGTTCTTGAGGACAGGTCCAAAATGAGATGTGAGACTGCTGTAATGGTTTAAAAGTCAGACTTTTACACTAAGTAAACTGCGCTACATCTTATTTGTGACCAGAAAAGAATTAAACATTCAATATTAACTAAGCGAAATGCCAAAATCTTGCAAGAAGATTTGATTTTTTTTCCTCATATTGCAGCTTAAATCAGTTATGTTTCCTTTAAAAATAAGGACGTCTCAAAGGTTGCTACATCCTACATAAATAAACCATGAACAGCACAATGTACTCTGAAGAGTGCTTTTGTCAGAGAGTAGGAGGGGAGGGTTGGAGTGAAGAGAGGAAGCATGGAAAGCCAAATAACACCTGTGATGCTTGAAACAAGAGCTGTTTTCACAGTGCAGGAGCACTCCATGAGTAGAACACAAAGAAGCTGCTTCTGAGACCCAGTCAAACAGTAGATAAGCCTGGGATAGGCTGTCACAGTCAAGGCAGCATAGTGGAGGCCAAAAGCAAGTTGTGCAGTTACTCAAAGTAGGGAACATTATAAAGCATTTTCACAAGCCAGGGTATCTGTATACTAGCAGATGTAAGCTTAATTCTGCAAAAGCAGTGATGTGCTGGGATGTAAACAAGGACCAGATGATATTTTAAAGTGTAGCCTAAGAAGACAACATAAGCAGATGGGAGCAGATGTGCTGGGGAAGAACTGGGTGTAAAAGAAAGTCTATTCCTGTCAAAGCATTGAATACCAGCTTTGTTTCTGTAATGTGCCTGAATTTCATTAGGAGAAAACTGCCCTGTGTCCTTTAAAGGAATTCAGATAAAAAATGCTATAATTATTTCCTCTGCATTCATGTCATTGCTGTGCAGCTCACTGTTGAAAATCCCACTAATAACTAGGAAGGCCCTTTCTGTGACAAGCATAAGGGAGAATTCTCAGCCCTGGTCTAGTTAAGGTGCTGGGAGAAACCACTGTTATCGTTTCTTCTGAGAAGTTCCACTGCAAATATCACCAGTTTCCGTAGCTAGAATCATAGAAAATCCGAGTTGGGACCCACAGAGATCATCAAGTCCACTCTTGTCTTCACACAAGATTTAAATATCAAGATTTTAAATTCGTGCAAAGCATCCCTCCAAGGTAAATATTATAGTAAATAAAAAACAGTTAAAATAAACCCTAAAAATAGTAAATAAAAATATTAAAACAGATAACTAGTTCAAAAATTAAAATGAGTTGCAAATCATTTGTGTGGAATGAGCCACAGCCACACTGTGGTGCTAACTTTCTTTGCAAAATCTTAGATTGTTGTATATCTCAGGTCTCCTGCAAGCCTAAATGGAGAGGCATTATTACAAAATTCCCTTCTTGGATTAGAGAAAGTGCTGTCTCTCCTCACTAGTCACCAGTGACATCATACAGACCCAGGGCATATCTTGTTCTATCTTACTGTTGCTTGTTTGTTGCCCATGAGGGAAGTTTTGAATGGAAAATGTCATTAGCCTCAAGACACAAGTATTGCCCTAGCAGATACCAAGGATTTATTTATATTTACATAAAATACGCCTATCTTGTTTTAACCTGAACCCTCAGATCAAAAGGCAAGGGAGATGCTTTTGTATGTCACTGTTCTGGTGCTGCTTTTAATTTCCTCACTGTGAAGAAATTGAAAGGACTGATATTTACTCTGTTTCTTTTCTGTATGAATCACTCCAAAGGCCATTAAATACTGAAAGCTTGGCTTGTTCTACCTCTCCACCCCAGCCGATGCCATAAATCCAGTAAATCCATCAGCAAACTGGATATAATCAAACAGCTGCCTTCCAGTCTTGAGGCAGGGGCATGCCCGGGGCAGGGTGCAACTATCCTCAGCAGTCAGAAACGTGCATGGCTGGGCAGCTGTATTTGCACGGAAAGTACCAAGCATAGGCTTTGCTTCTCCCTGAGACCTGGACAGGATCTATGTGAGTGGTAAACACATTCTTCTTCCCTTTCCTCAGTTCCTAAACATTCTGTGCTTTTTCCTTCCCCAGGGATCAAAGGAAGCTGATTATAGTAATGCATTTTCAGGGGAAGAAGTGTTTCTAACAGCAATGGCTCTCAATCAAGCCACCATATCCATCTGCTCTGTGCTGTGGGCTGATCGTGCACAGCCCTTGGTGCAAAAAGGGAGATTTGTGAGGTGTTATTAGGCTCATTGCCTCCTGCTGGGCTGCAGCCACTGGACATGCTGACCCACTGCACGTGGCTTTGATGCTGCCCAGCCTCATGCAGGGACCTCCAGCTGGGATCACAGTTACTGATAACGTCAACTGAAAAAAATACATGAGCTATTTCAGAGGTCTTCCATTCCTTGTCAGAGCATTTTGGTAATAGAAAGGGAATACTTGTTCATTCACTGTCATGTTCTCCAGGTGATAAAGCAGTGCAAGTGTAGATGTGAGGTACATATCTTTAGATGTAAGGAGTTATCTGACATCTATATAACTCTTTGCCCCAAGGCCTCAACTCTTGGTTTTCAAAAATCCCTTGGAAAGAGAGATGGTTGGGAGGGGTGTCAGACTACAATCTGACTTGTTTGTTAAGATGGTTTCTTTACTGCAGGTTGAACTTCTGCTGTCAACAGCTGTCCTCTTGTACTCTTTTTTTTTTTTTTCCCCAGCAGGCAGGAGCGTGATACCTTCATGACTGCTCTCTTAAAGCAGTAGCAGGAGTTATAAGTAGGAAAGAAATGCCACACTGCACATTCTTCTGTTTTCCTTGGACTTGTTTAAAGTTCTTTCTCTCTTTCTCTTTAGAATGGCGAGGCCGGACTCTTTTCAGTGGTGAGTGGAGACAGGACAAGGGGAAACTGACATAAGCTGCAGCATAGGAAGTTCCGCACAAACATGCGCAAGAACTTCTTTACAGTGAGGTGACGGAGCACTGGAACAGGCTGCCCAGGGAGGTGGTGGAGTCTCCTTCTCTGGAGACGTTCAAGACCTGCCTGGATGCCTACCTGTGCTACCTGGTGTAGGGAACCTGCTTTGGCAGGGGGGTTGGACTCGATGATCTCAGGAGGTCCCTTCCAACCCCTACAATTCTGTGATTCTGTGATCTGTGATTCTTTATTTTTTCCATTATATTTGATTTGCAAAAATGCAGGATTTCATTTCTTCTTCTGCTAGTGAAACTGGTATAGGTCAAGTTGTCAGTTACTCCAAGAGGACAATAATGATGGCTATTCTAATTGCTTCTTTTTCAAACTTACCAAGTACTGCACTTAAGAGGCAGTTGTATGTATATTTTTTCCAAATAAACATAAGGATCCATTTTAAATATTAATGCCCTCTTATTTACATTCACATGAAATAGAATTATTATGTGACACTAGTGTTAAGCACCAGAATAACATTGGAATGAGCATAAAATCAGAAGAATTTGAACTGAATTAATTAGCCGCTCTAATATGCAATAACAGATTACTTCAGTGATACTGGTCTTTCACGGGAGAATTTACCAAAAGTTATGATAGTACCTTCCATGAACTAACACTTCCCTCTTTCTTTGTATGTTGTAGCTGCTCATATTTGCTTCTAATGTGGTCTGTAACACTTCTAAAACAGTCAGGAGCAGAAATGGCCAAGCTGGGCTCCAAAGGCAGGCTCTGGAACATGAGAAGTCTCTAAATAGGATGCACGTGGGCTGGTTTATCCTGCATACTGGGTGTGTTGCTGAATGTGTGCTGTGCAGGACTTTTACTTTCCTCCTTTCTCACCTGAGTTCTGCCAGCAGTTGTCCTGACCCCTGCAAGCTCGAGGATGGGTACATGACCTGCTGCCCCCTTGCAGAACAGCCTCTTGTCCTGTGTGGGCTGCAGGTGTAGATGCGGGGGCACATTGCTCTGGTTACAGGGGAACAGGGCCCAGGATGGTGGAATCTACCCAGCAGCTCTGGCTGTGCTTGTGCTTTGGGCAGCTCCCAGAGAGGCAGGGCATGCAGCAGGGGTGTCCCTGCCATTTTAGTAGGACACTCTTGTTGCCTGTGAGCCTGCGACATGAGGTAGCTTTCTGCTTGGCCTCTGCTTAAAACTGTCTCTTTGTGTGTGTTCCCACAAATGTTCAGTGGCTTTTCCTGTATGGTGTGCTTTGTCAATACCATAGTGCTCAGCTGTGTTTTAAGAGTGAAATGAGGTTGATGGCATACTCCAGATTCATCATTGCCCTGGTAACATCAAAATGGTATAAGTTACTCATTTTCTTCCTACATCAAATCTCTGTCAAGAGCACATTCAAGAAATCACAGAAGGTATTTCTATTATTATTACATGATGATGATGATGATGATGATTATTATTATTAGTATTTGGCAGTGGCTGGAAGTTTGCTGTCCACCCACTTTCCACAACTGGGCGAAAAATATCTCAGAAAGTAACAGAATGCAAACTAGCTAGTGAATTACAGTGCTGAAATTGTTGAAATTGGAATTGTTCAACAAGTACTGCATAATAAGAAACAAATGAATATATTTTCTTGATCTGGGATTTTTTTTATTCAAATTCAAAAGTCCATGAAGGTTAGAATTTTTTGTCAGTGGTTCATCTATGTTCTTACCAGGAGACTTAGAGACTGCTTTGAAAACTCTGGAAGGGTGCTTGCCATAGACAGACATTGCAATAAGATCTGTGGTGGGATCAAGACAAGGGGAATGGTTTCAAACCAAAGGAAGAGAGATTTAGATTAGATGTGAGGGGGGAAGTTTTTTACTGAGAGTGGTGAGGTGAAGGAACAGGCTGCCCAGAGAGGTTGTGGATGCCCCACCCCTGGAGGTGTTCAAGGCTGGGTTGGATGGGGCCTGGGCAATCTGATCTAGTATGTGATCTAGTGGCTGGCAATCCTGCCTGGGGCAGGGGGTTGGAGGTTGATAATCGTTGAGGTCCATTCTAACTCAAACCATTCTATGATCAGAGTCCTCCCTGGCCTGTAAATCAAATAGTAACTATTAAACACTGTCCATGTTTTGTGATTCCACAACCACAGTATTTAGCTGAGGTGAAAGGTGGTAGAAAATGAGAATCATAGAATCATAGAATAACAATGTTGGAAACGACATATAAAATCTAGTCCAACCATCTTCTCATTACCATTCTACCACAAGCACTAAACCATATCTCGCAGCTCCTCATCCAGACACCTCATGAACACTGCCAGGGATGGTGACTCCACGACTTCTCCGGGCAGGCCATTCCAGTGCCTGACCACGCTCTGAGAGAAAGTTTTTCTTCACGTCTAAAATGAGGCCATGTCTACTGTCAAGGAAAAAAAAAACCAGGGCTGAAAGTCTTTCCCGCTGTTCCCTGTCAAGTTCACTTGCTTTTTTTTTTTTTTAGCCAAAAATACTGCCACCCTTGAGCTTATAAAAGAGCTCTATCAAAATTAGACAGTAATGTGCAGATTAATGTGCAGATGTATTAAGATACTCTAACAAATAAATTCATTATTTCATTAAATGAATCAATACATTACTTTCAGATCTTTGACACAGTAGGGAAAGTACCATTTTAGGATATAAACTCCAGGAATTTCTTTGTATTGTAACTCAGATTTCTTCCAGAAAATGCTCTTTGTAAATATGTTCTTGTGAACGATTTAACATTTTATGTATATTCTGAGTGCATCAGCTGTATGATTATTAAAACATCTGTATGTGTTTTTGTTTTATGCTGCAAGTTCTATTTCCCTTGAGAATGGGAAGCTGAATAATTTGGTATCAGTAGTGACTCACTTCATCCAGCTGAATGGTGATTAGAGCTTTTACAGCATTTGCATCATAGCAAGATGTTTGTATCAGATTGTACAGCTGAGTATTGCATGCAGCATTGAAGATTAAAATGAGAAATGGACCAAACATGACAATGTAGCTGGGAATGATGTTATAGGTAACTAGCTTTGTCCCCATCGATTTGTCTGCAGTAAGTGACAATGATTTGTTAATTTTGCCTTTGCAACAGATAGGAAATGATCTGGTTGCCTTGCAGAAGCAGCAGCCACCTACATAAAAGCAATGTTTACATAAGGAAGTATCTCTAAAAAAGCCAGTTAAATAATATCTCTTCCAAGAATCCCATGAGGCAGCGTGTTCTCAGTAACTCTTTGTTCACTGCTGTGTACTGCACAATAGGCTGAAGAGGGAGACTTTTTTTTCATGAATGGTAAATGGGGAGGGACATAATGTCATCAGATCGTGATGTCAGCCCAATGAATGAAATACTTACTTAGTGTACTGCTTTAGGACCAAGAAAAAACGGACACCATCTCAGTTTGGCTTCCTAGAATAAATCGTCTTTTGCTGACGATGTCATCTTTCCCACGTGTCATGAATAATCCATTTAAATTGGGACTTAAATAACCAGAAGTGAAGAAACTCGTGGAATAGTGCATGTTTATTCTTTTGTACATCCTCAGAGCTGCTAGTGGAACACCCCTTTGCAGGCGCTCCTAATGGGCTCAGTGAGTTGAAGAGCTATCGCTGTATTTTGTTGCGCTCCATCTAGCCAAATGTTCTGCTTTTGTCTGCAGAATTCTTTGTTGAAGCTACAAGCCCTCGAAACGGATCTGTGCTCTGCGTTTCTGCCAACCCAGGAGGAAACTCCCCAGCTGCCAGCACCCAAGGATCCAGCCCCTTCATCAGTCCAAACCAGTGTGCAAGCTGATGGGGCCAGTAGTGGAGGTAAGGGATCGTGTCATGATGTGCTCTCATTTGCAATTATAAAGCAGCCTTGTGACTTGCAGTCTGATCTCAGATTTGCAGTCCTCTGGGAAACCGTGCCGAGCTGAAGCAAAGCACCGTTTCCTGATGCAAATGCTAATGTAAAAAGGGGTGACACTTGTTAAAAGAGCAGAAATTAATGGCTATAGCCTTCTGTCCTTCTGCGAGGGAATCTGACTTTTCAAGTAGATTTTAAGAATCCTGATTCTTTTTAGTTTGTCTGTTATTTATTCAAATGAATTTATGCTTTTTGTTTCCTGTGCCTGTATGGTGTGAGATCATCTGCCATATCATGTAATTCTATTTTTGTCGTTCTTTTTGTCAGACCACTATCACTTCATTTCTCCTATTATTGATTTTAGTTTAATGCATCAGCAGAGAGATAGTGAAGGTGAGTTTTACAGCATGTGCATTTAAATCATTAATGATTCTCTATTATTACTCATCTGGGCAAATCGTGGTGTGCTACCTCTCTCTCTTTCCTCAGTATGGAAACCAGTCCTTGCAAATAAATAGCCCTAAGGCTCTGCACTATTTTTGTCAGTTCATAGCTTCTAGTCACAGGGTTGATAGTCGTGATGCTCAGGAGAGGAATCACGGTTTGTGAAAAATAGGTCAAAGGCAATATGACTAATCCATCTCACAGACAAGTGACATGAATACACAAACACTTAAACTGTTGACCATATATGGTTCAAATTAAAGCAGATAGGTAAGTAATTGCTGTGCAGTTGACATTTTATGTCTGAATAAATGCTGGGTTCAGAATAACTTACTTCTAAAGCTGTTTGCTTAGAATTTTCAGCAAGAAATAACAGCAAGTTAAATACCTAAAAAGAGGACAAATTATAGCGTTAATATGTACTTAAGTTCAATGTTTGTATTGAAAAAAAATAGGGAAATGATAAGTAGAATCCAAATTATTATAAAGCACATATATACACACAAGTATTGGATGATGTAGCATTCCTGTCATGCATTCTAGAGCATGCTCTGTCACTCTGGCAGTTCAAACTTGCGCTTCAGTTAAACTTCACTTATTTAAATGGATTTTAATGGACTCTCCATGCTGTGCTGTGGTTGATTGAATTTTCTTTATTGAGTTCCTATTTTCTATAGATAGGGCTTGTCTTAATTCTGTCTCTTAAATTACTAATGAAATCTGATTCAGTTTAGGTACAGGTGTCACATGAGACTATTGGCTTTTTCAGCTTGTATTTGGATGGAGGTCCAGAGATTTGCACCAGGCTAGAAATAGACTATTTAGGGGATGCACCATATTCACCATGTGTCTAGTTGTTAGCCTTTGCTTAGTGAATCAGGCAATAGAAAAAATGTACAATGTGGAAATATATTAATATAAATATGCTTGTGTAATGTGTTTTATAAAGTATATGCATATGCATTTATATGTGTGGTTAAATGAAGCCCCAGCAGTTTGTTAAAAAGGCAGGCTACTCCTGATGCAAATTTTAAGGGATCAATGGTAAGTCTTGTTGACACAAGTCAGCAGTTTCCATTTGGATATGGAAAAAATTGAATTAGAGCTGGCAAAATAAGTCCATACAGAATTGCAAGGGGATACTAAGCAAGATTTTTTTAATGGGAAATAAAAAAAAGCAGAATGTAAGTTATACTTCTTGGATATGAGTATACATGTGACTTGAGCAGCAAGCCGCTGCATTCAAAGATGTCACAAATGTTGACACACATTGGAACATAATACATCAGTGTATTTGTTTTTGAGTGTAACAGATGATGTTGTATTATTATTTTACTTAGACTAAACACAAATATATGTATCAGACAACCTGTATTATATGATTGAAGTCCGCATTATTAAGCTTACTGCCTATTATATAAAAAAAAGTTGACTTTAAATCCTCTGATGAGCCCTTGCCTGTGGCAAGCTGGACTGAATTAGATGACACAGAGCAGATGCATGCTAAGGGGCAACATATGAGCTTGGCTAACTGTGGCTGTTTCCCAGTTTGAGTAAAAATAGAGGCTGAAATTAGGTCACACACATGTGCATACTGGGTCAGTAGTTGTGTTACTCATAAAATAAGTGTCATGTTTAGAATCTACACAGCTCTGGAATCAGGAGAATTGCCTTAAAATGTAATTAAAAGTGGAGCTGGCCATGTAAATGATTAAGTAGTCATGACTTACTGAGCACCTCCGGACTGTACACAGCAATTCAGTTCATCTGGTGTATGATAAGGTTGGGTCTAAGACCGTTCTTGTGGTCATAGAAAATGTAATAGAGAAGATTAATTGCCAGAAACTAACAGTACTTTTGTTTGCAGAACAGCTTTTATTCCGGTCTTTATCACTGTATTATGTTGTCTGTGTAAATAACTTCCTGTGGCTGGTACAATATTGTATCTATGCTTCACCCAGATGCCCTTCTGGATCTCTCTTTGGGACGATTTAGATCTCATACTCTGTTTAGAACTTCTGGGAGTTGCTCCCATATCTTTAAGAGGTGAATTTCACTAACAGAGTAAGAAGTAATTAGAGGAAAGATACTAGGTTAGAATTAATAATCACCTACATTGTCTTACTGTGATAAAATTCTTAACATGATGATAATTGATGGTGCTGTTGAAGGAAATGAACTTATAGACACAGAAGTCACATGTAACTCTTGCATGACGTACTAAACTGCGATTATGCAGTATACAGTTAGACTTTTGTTATCAGCAAAACAAAAACGTTTGGATACTCTCCGATGAAATAATATTTTAGGTTATTCTATTACTTTCTGAATCAACAATTGATTTTTATGATGAATTCCACTTAGAGCCAATGTGTCCCCAACATCCTAGTGCAGAAGTACAGATTCATAGCTCCAGAATTTATTGGGCAGAGGTGAAATAAAATGTATTACAAAGGTTCCATTAAAATCCTGAAGGAGATACCTACTCACTGTGGGAGTATCACATCCTATGTAAACGGGCGAAAGTGCAAAGAAAGTGAGGGTTAAAGAACTTTCCTAGATCTGCTAGCTTTTATGGGGAAAAATTCATGTACAGTTGTTTGGGTTTTTTTCTGTGCACTTTTAGACTTTTATTTAATAAAAGGATTCTGCAAAATACAGTAGAATGCATGTTGTCTTGCAGACATGATACTGACTAGAAATGGCACGCATGCTGCCTGGAAATAGCAAATGATGTACATTCAAAGGCTGTATGTATGCATGGCTTTAGAGGATAAAATAACGTAGCTGATACCAAGTGCTATGCACTATGGAGATTAACACAGAGGAATCTGGGAAAGAACACACATTCTTTGCTTTAACACGCGCTTTTTGTTTTTTGGTGGAGAATTTATGAAAATGTGGGGTTTCTCCTTCAAAGTAAAATCTGCTTTCAAGCACAGCCATCTGATAGTGAAAAATATCAACTAGGCCAGATTATCTTCACCCATTTCATCCACTGAGGGTGAGGAGCAAGATTCAGTGGTTCTGCCCATTAATAAACTAGGAATACTCAAGGGAAGATGAACACTTGGCATCCCATAAGGTAGGCTTCATAACGTGCCCATCATTTTTCATGTTACTCATGAGCACAATCAGTATGATACAGTTTAGCAGTTCCTACATTTTCAGAGCAGAATAAATTATTCTGATTCCTAGCTTAATCATTTTTAAAAAAACAAAGTTTATCTCTTGAGGCAGCTAAGGTAGTTTCCATTTACAGTCAAAGAAGTATTAACATAGTACTGTAAGTGTGACTCTTCCAAGGAGCAGTTACTGCACATTAATTTGAGTAACTACTTCGAATGCGATTGCTTGTTATTTTTATTTTCATTGTGTAGTGTTCTTTAGACTCATATGCGTGTTATCTCAAAACCTAATGAAATTAGGAAACTATAAACAACATTTAAGGTTTTTAGCATCAGGAAATACGGTGTTTGTGTTCTGCCTTTCCACTGACCAAAGGACAAAATGCTACATCACAACACAAATTTTGTTCTGTATATTTATCTTCTGCTTTGGGAATGTGGCTCTCAAAAGCAAATGTTTATAAAAGTCTAATTAATGTTTCTCTTCTGGGAAACTGTCCATCTTTATATTATATTCCATAGATATAAAGATATACATCCGCTTTCTCCTGTAGACCTTAAAGACACTGTATGTTAAGCCAGTGAGTGCCCTCTGTATTTTCTTACCCTCAGTATAATGTTCAAGGTGCATGTGATACTTTGTTGAAATACTTGCTGTGTTTACTTTGAATACTTGCACTTTTAATCCTTCTATATGTACAGGTTTCTGTTTATCTAAGTAGCTGTACCTGATGAATGACCTTCAATGCACAGTGTTTTGTGCTTTCTTTCTAGAGCCTTTACCAGCCCACAGAGACTGGCAGAATGACATGGACAGCAGCCCACAAGAACATCGCTCCCTAGGAGCCAGTCGATTGCTGTATCACATTACTGATGGAGACAATCCTCTTTTGTCACCACGCTGCTCTATCTTTAGCCAAAGCCAGAGATTTAATTTAGACCCAGAATCTGCCCCTTCTCCACCAAGTGCTCAACCTTTCATGATGTAAGAAAGTGTATTTAAGTGTATCTGTATTTTAAATTCATTTTGAACAACGCATGATCTTAGACTCTTCTGGTCTCTCCGTTAGTCCTGTGTTACAAATAAGAAAATTTCACGTTGCAGTGTATTTTGGCATGGTTAATTTGAAATATCAGAAATGGGATCTAGCATTTTTTGCTGATAACTCAGTGTAACATTGCTTGAAGTCTTTGTTAATTATAGTTACACAGTGACAGATTTAAAATTTAGTTAAGTGGCTATTCTGTTATGTGAACGTAAAGTAGAGAGGGTTATTGAGGTACAAAAATTGACTAGATAAGAGTGTCATAGAATATAAGAGCAATATGTGACCTCCAGAAATCAAGACATGAGTTTCAGTCAGAAACAACATCAACTGCATATAAACAATAATCAATTCTGTGGACTTGTAATTATAAAAAATTAGAAACTCTTTTTTGAAAAATATTCAGAAATTCAAAAATTAATTAGGGAAAGAAGTATATAAAACATATTACCATATTGTGTGAGTACCCTCAATGAAAAACAATTATTTCACGCTAGCTTTATAAAACTAAACTCTCTCTAACCTGTGAAAGAACCTATGTGTAGATTCTGTTGTGCTAAGAAAGTGCTACGTGTGTTTGAAAAAAGACACAGAGCGTTTTAGCCATTTTTATAGAGCTACTATGCTTTTGGCTTTTGCAGACCAAGAAGTTCTTCTAGATGTAACTGCGAAGAGTGCAAAGAGCCCCAAACAGTAGCACAACTTACCAAGCATCTTCAGAGTCTCAAGAGAAAAATTAGGAAGTATGAAGAAAAGTTTGAGCAAGAAAAAAAATACCTGGTAAGAAAATCACTGAGTAGATAAAGGGAAATACTGCAAAAGGCAGGGAGGAATCCCAGCGTGTTTGGAATTATGCACTACAGTGAGATAAATTATATTTTTGATAAAATGGGAAAATTATCCGTGAAGGAATATATTTTATCATCTTTCAGTGTATTTAGTAGTTCTGAGACTAATTTGTGATTTCTTTGTATTACCTTTATTACAAAACAGGCATCTTCTACACGTGTGAGAAGAATGAGTCACTTAAACATAGCTGATAGGCTTACAAACTGATGTAATTGAGAAGATGAAAAGCCAGTTATTTACTCAATGGCTAAGTCATTTGCTTGGAAACTATCATTCTGCCTTCTTTTACAAATATTCCTTTAAACTTCCAAAACACAGAGCTCTATAGAAGCTGATGGAAAAAATAAGAGAAATATCAATTGTGATATGTTGCTGATGGGGAGACCCTGGAGACTATGCAGTGTATGCAAGATCATTGCTCATTATCAAGCTAGTTTGTTTAATGTGAATAATGCAGTATAAACACAAAACATCACAATGCTAAGGATGTGTACAGTATGAAACAGAGAAATTTGTGATGTTATGACTGTGCTAAAATTAAAAATTGAGTAAACTGTAATACTACTTTGTGGTCTCATCAGTGACTGCAAACCTGCACGTATGTCAGTGAATTGTCCTATCCTATGGTCATTAGGTACTTTTGTGAGTAAAATTTCATTAATAGTCAGCATGCTGTGACCAGGAAAGAAATTATTTCAAAGGTTTTATTTTGCAAAACAGTTTTATAATATAAAATAGCTGAATTTCAATGTTCCAGTGTAAATTATTTTTAATTATTAATTTAATTCGCAATTTCTAAATGTGAAGGAAGAACTGTTGTAACTCTGTTGCATAGGATTTTTTTTTTCCTTCTATTAGTTAAACAGTTCAGCTGAAACATTTAAAGTGCTGTTTCCCAAAAGAATTATTGTTGTAAAGGAGGTAAGGCTTATCCCTACAAGGGTAGAGTGCTTCAGTTGACATCCTACATCCTGCAACAGATTTCTCCTTAGGAAAGTGACAAACATCAAGCATTTTATCAGTCCTCTTGAAGTAATTGAAATTACTTATCTAGTTAGTCAAAGATTTTATTTTTTTTTTAGGATCAGAACCAAAATACTAAGATCCTTGCAGCACTGTGCCACTGTGAGGAAAGATAAACTACAGTCAGCTTGTATTGAGATCAAGCCAAATGGTCTGTGTGACACTAAATCTGGAAATATGCACGATAACTGGAAATGTGGACATCTGTAGCATTGTATGAGTGTTTCTATCTGTTCAGGCCTTTTTTATTTTTTTTTATTTTTTTTTCTGTTTGACTGTTTAATTCTCAATTCTCCTTTTTTTCCTCCTTCCTTTGTGCTTTATATTCAGCCTTCACATGGTGACAAGACTTCCAATCCTGAAGTTCTAAAATGGATGAACGATTTGGCCAAAGGTCGTAAGCAGCTCAAAGGTACATAATAGTGTGTCATTTCAATTTAGTGCTGAAGCATTTGGAAGCAGCATGAGTGTACCTGGAATATTTTGCAAGTAGTTCTCTATTCTTGGTGCTCTGCTTGTTTTTCTCTAGTGCATGGCAGTAAGTCTCCTAATGACAATAAAGATATTATGTGACATGACTTGCCTTGATTCCTGACAGCAAGGATCAAAGTCAATTTGATACTCGTAACAAGGCAACAAGGGGAGGGGTAAAAGACATCATCCGTCCTTCATAAATACCAACATTCACGTAAAAGGCAATGTCATTTGAAGTATTTTCCGAGTGTCTGTTTGCTGGTCTAATATAACTAGAATTAATGTGAAATAATAAACTACAAAGAGTTTCTTGAAAGTTTCTTAGCTATTGTAATGACTGAGCTTTTATTTATTTGACTGTAGAAAGAGATCTTTCCCTGATATTTGATTTGGTCCTGGGGGTCACATTTTGCCCTGACTGTCCACACACAGCTCTGTGAACATCTGTGGGTATTTCACATGCTTGCCTTCAGGGAGAATGTAACCAGGATTGATTAATTTTTATTTTCTTAAGGCCATTCATAAATTATCCAAAAGTTCTTTTTCATTATAAATAGACTCACACTACTAATTAAATCCTATTGTTATATTTTATATCTCATTTGGATAGAGAAGGTGTTATTGTGGGAAAGAATTAAAAACTCATCTTTCAGTACATTTCTTCTGGAAAGTTCTCCATTAAATACTAGACCCTGCACAAGGTCTTGCACCAAAAGTTCTAATCTGCTGCACTATAATAATTGCATGTGAGAAGTCTGGATGCTTTTTTCTTATAGTATCACAGGAAATTTGTTTGCAAATATTTCTCACCTATTTACAAGCAAATAATTTACCTTTCAGAGCTGAAACTCAGAATGTCAGAAGAGCAAAACTGTACCTTCAGAGCAGGCCAAAGAAAGGACAGTAGTGAAAGTGCTGGGACCCCCATAGAGACTGGGACACAGGAGGCCACAAGCATGGAACCAGCTCCTTCAGCAGAAGAAACCATGGACAGTGTATTGAGACAACTAAAGGAGAAAAGACAACACCTCAACATTCCTGAGACTATTAAGGTATTTAACAGATCTGGTTGTCTCTTACAGTACTTCATCATCTGAAGCAGATATTAGTTGCTGGATGGGTATGCATCCTGTGCTCTCAGACACTACAGGGCATTTTCTCTCTGACTGCACTAGTGCAGTTTTCTGAAGTGATTTTTCTGTGAAGAGTTGCACAGACAATGAGGTGAAGTTTTTTTTTAAGTAGTGCCAAACACTTTTTGCTCAGAGATGAATGCAAAAAATCGTATGCCAGATTTCCCTACTTGAGGTTGTGTGCATGCGAAGAGCATCTTTCATTGTATCAAAAATGATGAAAGGAAATGTATTCCTATCTTGAGTTCACAGAAACTTTATGCTGTAATGAGGGACCAAGACTTCTCCCCCATTAAACCACCCACACAGTCTCAGTCTCTCAAAGTGCTCCCTGTGGACTGACTAGGAGGCTTTTCTGGGCCATTGGCTGAAACAGTGACTAAGTCATTCCTCACTGGTGTAAAAAAGTGTGTTTTGATCAGTCTTCCATTGCAGAATTCAAATGTACAGAGGCCATTAATAGCAGACAGGGTGAATTCAGCTTTGGTTCCTGCAAAGGACCCACAAGGTCCCTCCTAAGTAGACAATAAACCTGCAAGTCTGCTTGGTGGATCTCTCCCAAGTGTTTCTGAAGCAAAGAAATTAGGAACATATGCAAAGTTATTTTGACAGTAAAAATCCCCTTTCACCTGAGTGATGCTGAAAACGTCTGTCCAGCTGATAGCCCTGCATTAATATCACGTGGGCAGCACAACCATCCAGGCTGCTTTGCCCTCTGATGTTGATACGCTTAGTTGTACTGCCTCTGCTCTTCTCCATTCTTGATTACTTTTCTCAGTCTAAGAGAAGATTTAATATCCCATGAAATGCACTTATGTAGTTGGGGACTTAATTATTTTTTCAAATAAATATCTATTTTAAAATTCTGTACATCCATGCTACTGGCACACTTTAGGATCTGTATAAAGCTGTTCCACAGAACATACTGTCCATAAAAGAGCTTATTTTATTTTCATTTTGTGTTGCTTTATTTCATTTTCCTATTTCTGCTGTCAAATGATGTTGCTATGCTTGGTGCTGTATAGCCAAGAAAGATGACAAATTCTGTTCCCAAAGATACGTGAAATCTCAGCGCAGTCAGAAATGTCCGGATTCTGGCTGCTGTAGGAAAAGGGGGGAGGATGGAGAGAGGGAGAGAGCCTAAGAGAATGGAGAAAGAACAAAACACTGAACTGTGCTAGAATATTTTAACACTAAGAAATTATTTAGGATAGATTTCAATAGCACGAAGTACCCAGCAGATTTTTTATTTTATTTTTATTTTTTATTTGTTTTGTTTTTAATTAAAATTTTTTAATTTGTTTTCTTTTCTTGATTCTTAACCACCTGTTACTGTATTAAAATTAGAACAGTGCAAAACTATGCTGTACTTCTGTAGCTGAGATTTTAAGATCTGCTTAGATGGCAGACTTTTTAATTGCTTCTTTTCATAGGTTACTTTTTGAAAACATGTAAGGAAAATGGTTTCACAAGCTTAACTCCTTTGTAAGAAAACACAAGAGAACAACAAAAGCATGCAGTCCTGTTTGCATTCTTAAGTTGCAACAGTACAAACTACATGATTATAGTTTTAGTTGTTAAAAAAAAGTTGTTCTGCAGAGATCAGCTGATACCAAAGCAGATGTCAGTGAGGAAAACCTATCAAGAAGAACTCTCATAAGTACGAGAGTAAGCTGTCTGCAGATCCCATTCCATTTTTGATTAATTCTGTACAATGGCAGAGCTGTCATCTAAATTTAATGTCTGCACAAATTAATATTTCTCTCTTTTTTTTAAACGCTCATTTGTACATCTCAAACTACTTTTCTTCTGAAAGATCTATCCTTTTTTAGTAAAGGTGATTGAAAATATTTATACAAAGCTGCCATGGAACAGAGGCTTGAAAAGGAATAATAGAAAGTCAAATTGAGCTAGTTCAAAATAATTTGTCATTGGATCCTTATGCTTAACATTAAAATTATTGATTTTCAGTTATGAGTGCAACTTTTGTGTTACTGTTGTTAATTTGATGTGCAATATTTTATTTTTTGTATAGAATTTAGATTCTCTACCAGAATGTGAACTGGACTAATAGTAGGCTAAAAAGTAGCTAAATGTTTAAATGTTTTTAGGGTTTTTTTTGTTTTGTTTTGAAGGTCTAACTGCTTGGGGCAATGGTAGTGCTTCCATACAAGGTTGTCTTGTTCTCCTCCAAAACAGAGATGAGAAAATGAGTGTCCTTAAAAAAGACGTGAAGTTGAATGTGACTTGTGAAACTGGGTTTAGTAAACATTTTACTGACTGTTGACAACAGGATTCATAGATCACAGACTTTTTAATTTTTAGCCCAAAGTTATCAAGTCATTTGGAGGGCTATTTTGTTCTTCAAATATGCAACAACCATCCTAATAAAATAGCAGATAAAATGTGAGAAAGGTGGAAGGCACTGTTGTTTAGAATCCTAAACCATCCTGTATGTCTAAAGAAGGCAAACTACAAAACCTGAATAAATTATAGGCCTATTTCTGTTTATCTTTTCATGAGCTATGAAGCAGTATTTCTATGTAGTTAGCACTGAATTTCATGCTGCTGTGCACAGCCCATAATCAGAAGATGTTCAAGATGATTCTGGAGTTTGTCTTTTCTCATTTTGAAATTATCAGCCATTTTAAGCCCAGCTGAATACAAACCTGTCTTGAGATTGCTAATGAAACGAGCTAATGAAATAAACCCAAATGCTAAACCCTCTTGAGATTGTTTCTCATGTGTAAAATCAATATTAATGATCATTCTCTGTTTCCTGTTAAGCATTCAGCTGCTCAGGCTTAATAGCTTTTGAAGGAATGAATCTTGTATTAATTGCAGAAATAGCAACAAGCAATACAGTTAGCTGTTTTATAATACTCCTAAATTCTAGTTTAGCAGCTTTTCTTTTAATATGAATAACAATTTCAGAGTGATTAACTCATGCAGACCTTTAAGAACAAGAGGTTTTGCTCTGTTTTTTTTTGCATTTGGACAACAATCAAAAAAGTTTATGCTCCTGCAAAGTTAATAGCAAGGAAAGAGCATTACTTCATCAAGATTTGATACATTTTTTAAAAGAAATGGCTAATTATTATTTCTCCAATTTGTCAATAAAATGCCTGGTCACCAATCTCTTGCAGAAAGGTATCCCCCTACCCCAGCTCCATCATTCTCTGCATTACTTCATTGCAGTGGAGGAGCTCTGCTCCAAACCTTCCAGCAGTTAACTCTAATTGTAGAGATCTGTCGTGATCTGGCAGACTCTGTGGAAAATTACATTAGCTTCACGTGCTCCTTGCTGTTCCAACCCAGATGAAAATATGGACATGTTAAGAGCAGATTTTCTTGGGAGGAGGGGGGGAAGGGGAAAAAAAAAAAAAAAAAAAAGCAGTTAAATAGTGTGCTCTCTGTACAAAACACAAGCATAGTGGTACATCATCACCAACACTGATAAATCACATTGTTGAGAAATCAACATTTCTCTTTCTGTTAACACTGATTTATATTGTGATTTTTGAGCAAAAATAAAACACTTCACTTGTGAAACACCACTGCAGAAGGAATTCAGCATTTGCAGGAGAGGTGGTGTTCAGTGCAGCAGAGCAATGAGTGTGACTGGGGAAGTAGCCTAGGTCTCCTCCCATTGTTAGTTAAGAGCTGCATTTTCTGCAGCTTTTCCATAGCAGTTCCACAAATGCACGCTATCCAACTGCAAATTCCTCCTGCTTACTGCTCCCTTTCATTTAAAAAATAGCGCTGTTTTCAGTATGTTCATCTTTTGGCGTGTTTTAATCACTGTATAACAATGGTTAGACATTTAGAGATTTCATTGTCAGTCATTCTACTCTGTAAATGTGTTGTGTTTGCATAGCTGAAACTTCCTGTTTGTCATCTCTCGCCAGCCAATGGCAGTCATGGCTGTCAGGTGATGTCCCTGGTGATGGGAAAAAGGGAAATATAACTCCCATTTTCAAAAAGGTAGAAAGGAAGACATAGGAAACTATAGGATGATAAGCCTCATGTCCATGCCTGGGAAGGCCATGGAGGAGATCCTCCTGGAAGAGATGTTACAGCACACGTGTGACAAGAAGGTGATCCAAGACAGCCAGCATGGCTTCAACAAGGGCAGATTGTGCGTGACCAATCTGGTGGCCTTCTGTGACGGAGTTATGACATCGGTGACAAAGGAAGGGCAACTGATGTCAAGGTGTTGCACTTGGGTCAGAACAATCCCAAATAATGTGTACAGACTGAGAGAAAAACTCACTGAGAGCAGACCTGTGAAGAAGGACGTGGGGGTTCTGGTGGACGAAAAGCCACATATGAGCCAGCAGTGTGCTCTTGCACACTGTATTTCTCACCTAAAAACAGTTTTACTCATTATCTTCCTACGTTTCATCTGCTCTGCAATAGGCCTTGCGTGGGGAAATATGCATCTGTGATCCGTGTAAGACTTAAGTCATATAAAGTTGCATTCTGCTCTTGCTAAATCATTGCCAAGACCCATTCAACATTAGTGTGGACAGAAACAGAATTCATTGCTAATGTTTATTTGGAGAGAACAAAGGATTGAACAAATACTTATCTGTATCCTTGTCATGAAATCCTGGTTCACAATCTTATAAATAACTTTTTAAAATTAGAATATGACAAAAAAAAAAAAGGCTTTGGAAAACATCAATCTTCAAAAATGTCTGCTATATTTTGAGAGTATTCATGGATAGCCTGTAAGTATACCATAGGAAGATGAGTAAATTGAAGATTATATAAGTTCTGTATCAAATATTTTTGGACTCATTAATTAAACGTATTTAGATTAATTTTCTGTAATCAACATTTCAAACTAATCTTCATATCTAAATTTTAGTGCTTTATGAATTTGTTTTATATTTAAAAAAAAAATCAAGTAAAATGGCAAATTTCCTGTGGCCCTGTCTTTTTCCTCATAAATGGAAGTTGCAGATTTTGATGACAAAGATGGAGGATATGCATCCACATTAGATTTGGCTCATGCATACTGTAGCTTTTCATACCACAACGTATGAAAAGTTAGAACGTGTATCAGCTGAAAAAGGTTTACAGAGCACCACTGGAGATGAAATTAAAAAAAAAATGACCTGTCATCTTTTTTTTTTTCCCCACAGCATTACTGACTTAAAATGGTTTCAATGTTTTCACTGTAGGAGTAGGAGAGTGTATATAGAAAGGGGTCTGACTAAATGACTTTTCCTAGGGAGAACAAGAAAGAAATTGACTTACTAGTGCTGTATAAAGGTGAAAGAGATTTGAAGATGCAAAGCGAGAATAATAGAGCATGCTTTGTAGCTTGTGGTTTACAGAGAATATTTCTTCCAAAGGTAGAGGCAACTCTAAGAGTCTGAGAAAGAAGATGCTAACTGAATAAAGAAAGAGATGGTCAGTGGTGCTAAGGAGCCATAAAGGAATCTTGGATCTGCCAAACAGCTCTGATTTCAGGTCATAGGGAGCTCAGAGTCAGTCAGGAATTTAAAGCAGGGAAATGGAATACAGGCAAGATTCTTACCTTTTGTTGTTCCTAAAAATAGACAAACAATCTGCAGACTGTCTGCACAGTTAGACTTTGCCTACTTAGATTATCATGCATCTTTAAGAAGCAAATTTTAGTATTTGTATTTAGATTGACAGTTTCCTGCAGGAAAGGGTTGAAGATTCTGTGTGGATCCTGGCACCAGGAACAGCCGGAGGGTGAGGCCAGCAAGGCCCAAGCTCAGTGTCAAGCACAGGCTCCATGCCCATTTCAGAGGTGGCAGAGCCTAGGAAGGATGCATGTCTTGGGAAGCTCATGTTCATGTTGTTTTAAGACAAGGGGGATGACAACCTGCAGAGACAGTGAGTATGCAAGCAGAGACATTCCAGTGAATTAGCCAACAGTATAGATGCTTCTCTGCTTTCAAAGAGCTGTGAGAGTGCAGAAAAAAGATTTTTCATAATGCTTGTAGAGAAACTGCTGAAGTGTCAAGAATCAATGCTTCAGCTGTGTGACGTAGCAACCAGTGACATGCCATGCCATTTAACAAGTATTATTTCATATCAATATCAAAAGTTGAGTATGTTGAGCTGGGATTGCAAGAGAACAATCAGAATCCCAGCATGCAAATTTATGCTTGCCAAGCATGCCAAAGTTTCTTTTATAAATTATTTTTATGCCTTGCAGTACAGTTCCTGTGAAATACCCTTGGAAGCAAAATAAACATCAGGTCATACTTTTCTAATACTTTTCTCAGCTTTATAGGAGAAAATAAATAAATAAATAAATTCATTTTTAATTTTGGATGATTATATTTTACTATGATTTTTCCGTAGGTAACTAAACAAGAAAAGAGTCTTATGAAACCTCTTTATGACAGATACAGAATTATCAAGAAACTTCTTGCAACTCCATCACTGATCACAACAATTGTAAGTTGGAAAGAATTCACAGCCGTTGTCAAGATAGCATGCTAAATGTCTTTGATTTGTGCCTGCACATCAACTTGGCAGCAGTAAAACTAATGCTATTTGAATAATCTGCTGATTAGTTAAAACAGGGTGTTAATATTTCAGTTAGATGAAATAAACTGTAAAATTCAACTTCCAACAGTACCAGAGGTCAATAATACAAGGTAATGGTTCCTTAGGCAGTTTCCTTAGTGGTTTCAATCACCGGGCAAGAGATAAAAGGCTGTCATGTGTTTCCTACTACAATTGATTTAAGCTATATAAAATGTCATTTTCATTTTAGTATTTGTATTTAGATTGACAGTTTCCTGCAGGAAAAGGTTGAAGATTCTGTGTGGATCACGGCACCAGGAACAGCCGGAGACTGAGGCCAGCAAGGCCAAGCTTAGTGTCAAGCACAGGCTCCATGCCCATTTCAGAGGTGGCAGAGCCTAGGAAGGATGCAATGTCTTGGGAAGCTGATGTTCATATTGTTTTAATACAGGCGCTATCCTGATGTAGATATCTCCTCTATTTATTGTGAAGGCTTGTATTAAACATATGGCACGTAAATATTATTTGTACTAATTTAATAATGCATAAAATTCATGTGACAACTGGTCTATCTGTGAGGAGAGATAGTGGAATCTGGCTATTTTGAAGTTGGCTTGGTCGATTAAAAAAGTTAGAAACTACTATCTTGATAGATGTTAATAGAGCTTTAGATTTCTTTGAAAATCCCAGTTGAAATCTTAGTACATGCGCTCACAGATATTTAATTTCAAAATTAACTGAAAGGTCTCTTGTGTTAGTTGTGTCTAGTCTTGCTGTATAGAATTTCATGTTTAAGCACTCAGTTTAACAGCCCAGCTTTTCTTTTGAGGATGAAGGAATGTGGAGAAGACAGCAATATCCCTCTGTTTTGGTAGCTCACATTTGTAGTTATAAAACATATGTAAAATCTCTACCTATCTATAGTTCATGTTACAGTTATAATTTCCAGGTATAATAAACGCATTAAATAGTAAATAAGAGGAGTACAAGTTCCAGCAGTGCTTGCATAAACACAGAATGTTCTCTAAATCTTCTCATCTTGCAAATGCTTTTGAGTAAACAGAAAATTGATATTTGGAGCTACTCAGAAACAGGCCTGCATTCTGTACTGTTGAGTTATGAACAGTAGCCAGTAGACCAGCAAGCCCCATAAGAGTGCTCATGATTGGTTTCAAATAGACCTGGGTAGAATTTGCAACATCTGCGATCTTTTAGTCGATGCATCCAGGAAATTGCAGCCTAATTCTTTGTGTTGTCATCTTAATAATTGTTATGTTGTTTTGTAAATGACTAATTTTATCATGCTTTACATTTTACAAGCAGGAAGAAGAAGACTCAGATGAAGACCATTCTCAAAGCAGCCATGAGTTATCATCTGGTCCAATATCTTGCCTCCCTATTGATGAGCACCTGTGTTACTCTCAGGAGGAGAGTGAGCCTGCATATGTCTCACCTCCAAATGAAAAGAAAACTTTAAGACAAACAGCCTTATCTATGTCCAATTTACATGAGGCAACCATGTGAGTTCTGTCTTTTTGTCACAGATACTTTGAAATGCTTTGTATAGGCTTTATAAATGAAGCACAATTTGTAAACGCACGATCCGTACCTACTAGATAGGAAAAAGAAATATGCGCTACGCGGCCTTGAGAAGGCCATTCAGCGTGTGTAAACTAATTTTATTCCTTGCAGAAGTGTATTTAGTAGTGTCTGGATGCACTGAAATGTTCACAGTGCCTTCCTGCCCTCCATTAAAAACAAAACAGAAGCATCACCAGATTTGTATTTAAAAATTCCAGGTTGCATGAGACAGCAGGTCTCTAGATACACATGGGCTGTTATCAATCATAGCTTATGGGATATTTTTCTTGTGTTTTCACTGATGTATCTGAGATGCAGAAATGAAGCTTACTAGGCACTACCAAAATGGAGAGAAATGTAAAGAAAAAGTCTTTTTCTATGTAACACAACTATGCATTCAGCTCTGTGTTCAAATGCTGTGATTCATTTCTTCATGTTGTGTTCTTACAAAAAAAATAGTAGGGATATAGCATAACTAAGAAAATTGTTACTCTGCTTAAAAAAACCCAAAACCTTATTGTCCAAATAATACCTTCTAGAATACGTCCTTCAAAAAATTAAGAAAAAAAAAAGTTGATTCTGGGTACCATTAGCAGTTCCTCTGAATCCCAGTAATATTTAGTAACAGCTGTTTTTCAGTGCAGGGCTTGGCTGTGTGACTTGATTTTGCAGTCAGCCACCGAGCCCTGCCCATGCAGGACTGAAACCAGTAACAAGCTCTAATCCTGAAGATTTTTCTTATCATGTTGTCCAGTCTCTACCTTTATTAGAAGAGCAAGACCTAGCACTAGTAAACAGGAAGGAACATAACTGTTCAATCACATATGCTTCCACAACCGCATATAACTGATACGTTGTCATGCCTTGAGGCACTGAGACGAACACCTGCCATGGCCCACAGCAGGTCCTGCCCATTATCCCAAACCACAGTTTTTACAGTCAGTCAAGGCAGGTGGGGTATCATGGTCTTGTCTCTGTTTTACAGGCCTGTTCTGCTTGAACATCTCCGAGAAACAAGAGCAGACAAGAAAAGGCTTCGCAAAGCTTTAAGAGAGTTTGAAGAACAATTCTATAAGCAGACAGGAAGGTAAATAGCCAACTTGACAAATGCCCTTCCCCTTTTCCTCTTTGGGTACCCATGTAGGTGCATTTGTTTCTATGAGAGCAGGTACTCTTATATGGGAAGACCAAAGGAGCTGCAGTCTGGGACACGAAGATAACATGGAGGTGCCTGGTCTCTATGAAGATGACCAGACCCTCGCTAAGCTCCTCTGGGATGTGGGAATCCCTGATTACCTTCTACATCTGAGATCTTCCCAGAACATGCTTGTAATGGGCATAAACTGTCCAGTGTTTCACCGCAGGATCTTTCCTGGGGCACAGAGAATCTTGCTAATGCTCTTTCTGAAGTTGTCAACCTTCAAGGACTAAACGGAGCAGTTTGACAATATCTAAAAGGGCAGATATAAAAACTGAAACCATTGTTTTCTTCATTCAAAAATATTAGATACTTTTCACTCTGTATTTATATTCCTCCTATCGTTTAACGCACTTGTTTGCTGAAAACTGCAGGGGATATGTGCTGGTAGCATTTTTCAAAGTGCTGCCTAATAACTTTTCTGCATATTTCAGAATTAAGTAATTACACTTGCATAGCTAACGATAAAGAAAATTTCCTGATGTATATGAAAAGTTTGTTAATATTTAAAATCCAATTCCTTTCATTTCTATTAGTTTTTTTTTTTCGTTCCTTTGACATTATCTTTAGTTGCCTACTGTTAGGAAAAAATATATATATATTTGTGACTCCAACCTCTTTAGTTACTTCAAAATTAATTTTAAAGACTCTTTCTCCTTTAATCCATAAAAGTGATTGTACTTCTGCTTGCTTTTTATAGGAGTCCTCTAAAGGAAGATCGTGTACCTATGGCAGAGGAATACTCAGAATACAAGCACACAAAAGCCAAAATCAGGCTCATAGAAGTTCTCATCAGTAAGCATGATGTTTCCAAAACAATTTGAAATCAGTACAATGCAGTGGTGTCATTCTCTAGCAAATCAAACAAACAATAATGGAAAAACAAAGTGGTAGTTTTAGAGGTCTTGGTCAGCTGCACAATTATTTGACATGCTGAGATCTTTTGATGCACTTTACCAATTCTAAAAGCGGGGATGAGGGAGGACAGCAATATATGAGAATATTAAGAATGGGTGAGTGAACTATATATAGAACATATATATATTTTTTCACTTTAAAGCCTTGAAGTGCACTGTGAGAATGTTAGAAATTAAAAGGACACCGAAGTATTGTTGACTCTGTTTGACTTGTTCCTAGGTTTAAAAAGTGTGAGGAAATGTCTCCAGGTTATTAGTACATCTTAGAATACACTAATGTACCACATGCTTTTATTTTTTTTTTTAAACAGAATTAACATGCAGTATAAATAAAACTATAACTATTGGTTCTCAACGTGCTGATTGGTTCACTAGATTAAAAGAAACACAAGCAAGTAAGTTTAAAACAATAAATTCTGTCTTTCAAGATGGAGTTGCCACTTAATTCCAGTACATTCAAGGGAAAAAAATTGACAGGATTTAGAGGAAGGAGGCATGACTGCCAAATGGAATTACTGTATTTCAGAAATAAGAGAAAGACTTGGCAAAACAAAACATTTGAAGTTTACCAGGAAGAGATTTAGCAAACGTATTGGATGCTGTCTTTTTCATTATGGTTCACAGGACTTGGCTTATGGTACGTAAAATTGGGTAAATAGACCAACTATATGCTAATTTTTATTTCCATACTGAATTTCTGCACTTTATTTTGCCTGATGCTATGATGTTTGCTTTTCTGATTACCAAAGCTTGTTTAGAAGCATGCACTTTGTACAATGTCAAGTTATTTATTTCCTGCGTCATACAAATTGCCACATATATATAAAGACTAGAGTATTGCATTATGCTAAGATATTTTGGATAGATAAAGTAAAGTACCTGGCATATAACTGAGTGTCACAGTTATCTGATAAGGAACACTAGACTTCTTGTTTACTATAAAAAAGATTATAAAGAAGATATTTTTCCATTCAAATGATACATCTTTCTTAACTTTCGGAGCACCAGACTTTGTAATATTAAGGAAATTTTCCCTCTATTTGTGATAAGTCATTGGTGTGAATTGTTAACAGAAGGATTATCAGCGTTTTTGTACTAGAAATGAAAAGCAGGGATTCTGGGAAATACTTAGCCCAGGCATAAAGAAAGGAAGAATGAGAGAAGAAAAACAGGGATGTGCGTAAGTTGAAACGTGTTTTGTGTTTTGGTTTAACTGTCATTTTGTATTGGCCATATATTATAAGGAACCTGTTTTATACCTATCTTGGTAAGAAATTTTTCATTTTATAAAGCCTATTATGTGCCAACCACGTTCGTATTTATATTGTATGTGATGATGGGGCATGTTTTTGAAGACGTACGCATTTTCAAGTAGCTTGGAGGAAAAAGTATGATGACTATAAAAGGATGTTTTTATTTCTCAGAAGTTTGTTGTTTCAGTGTACCAATTTAATAATTTGTAACTCAAATTTTATGAATCAGAATGGTCTCCTTCATAAATCTGTTTTAATTAAAGTCATCTAGAGCAACAGGAACAGATACAGAGCTATTTGAAGTTTACAAACTACATCTTTGATAAGGGAAAATGATTTCATGACATATGTATACAATTGATATTAAAACGTAATCTATATATTCTATATGATTGTATAATATTTTATACAACAGTACAAATAAAATATTTTTCTATTATATTTATTATGTCAAGACACAATTTCTGTTTTCAGTTAGCTAATATAAATAACATAAATAACACTGTCAAACAACACGTTGGAAGTGCTGACATTTCTAGGCTTTGAAATCATGCTGCAATTACAACCTTTCATGCTGTTTGGAGTTATCCCAGTATTTGTTCAGTAGTTAAAATGAATGCATATTTAAACACCATTTATAAGCCATTATTTTTATTTTGCTAAAGCAGTTTATATAGGATTTTGTTATGTTTGGCAAGAAACAGAAAATTTTTGCAGCATCTAAGTATAAATTGTTGCCAGAGAAAAAATAATCCAGGACTTCTAATCATTTAAAGCACTGGAGGAACAGAAGGGAAAGAGAGGGAGAAGAAATACTAAAAACGCTAGTTGGAGAGTTTGGAGACTCATGTTTGCCCTTGGTGACAGCGGCATGTGCATGCTTCTGACAAAACCAGCTGACTATGGAAATGGACAACAGAGGTTTGAAGGCTCCTAAGGAACAAGGGAAGTTTTAACGTCCAACACTGATATTGCAGGTCTTGCAGCTGGGATCTTTCTTTGCATTTGCAGTAGACAAGCTCATTAGTTGGTGACCAGTAATTTCTGCAACTGTGCCGAGGGAGAGATCCACAGGATCAGTGTAAATTACTTCCAGAATAACATCCTGGGCATGATGGTAAACCATTTCTCCATCTTCTTCATCACAGGTCAGAAATTTATTATCTTTTATATTTAGCTGAGGAAGGCGCTGCTTACAGAATTCATCTCCTGGTGACCCGACAGGAGCAATAACAAGAATGACGTAGTGGTAAGCTGTGTACATGCAGTAGAAGTCTCCAAAGTACAAGTTAGTATTTGGGTTGAAGAGTTTTTCAGCTGCAATCTCAAACCTGTATCTTCCATAAGGTGAATCTTGGGGTGGTTTCCCAGTGTTAAACTCAGTGTTGCAGCTAAAGAAGATGCCTTCCAACTTCCCACTGATCGGAGAGCCATGGCTGCCACTGTTATCCTTAACAGAAGGCTGCATAGCATTCCCATGGTGCTCTCTACAAATGGATGATGGGTATTGTTTATTTAATAACATTACAAGAATGGTAAGTTAGGACTCATTTACTTCATTCTGTTTTGCAACAGTGCTGAAGGAACACAAAGGAAAATCATTAGAACTCTGAGAACTCTGGTTAGTGTCATGATCCTAGGATCAAGGAAATCAAGTGAAGCCAGATTCGCTCAGGTGGAGTAAATCCTCCTCAAGGAGAAAAAAGCCCTTCTTTTTCACTCTGTATTCTCTGTCAGCTGAGAGCTGTGGCTCTTAGGTCAGTGCAAAGAATAGCACAAACAAAAAGCCTCCAAAGCACTGATATATTAGCTGATTTTTTCGTAACAATGTAAGAAAACTCCTAATGAACACAGAAATGCCTCCAAGTCTGATTTTGTTGTTGTTATTTCTAACTTTCTCAGAAGCATATCTTAATTTGACTCAGATTTCAAAGACTTTCTCAGCCATTTCAATAATTATTGTCTCAAGCCCTATCTCACAAGACAGTGGTGGTTGGTGGATTTTTTTTGTGGGCGTGGAGAGTGCAAGGGGAGGGGGGTACAATTGGCATATTACAACTGAAATGAATGCAAAAGGGAAATAAACAATCAGCTTGAATAACCACCATCTCTGCAACCTCAGGAAAAGGCTTGCAGTTTCATTTCTGTGGCAAGATACTGACATCCAGTGGCCAGTTACACTATTTATAGGTCACTCATCCCATGGATCTGAGACGCTTTGTTGTGCTTCCACCTCAAGGAAGCAGCAGCAACGTGATACTTAAAAAAAACACAACAACAACAAAAAGCAACCTTACACTTAGGGGTTGCTGCTTTAGCATAGTGACAGTTGCTTGTTAGCTATTGCTACTACTTGTGCTACTCTATAAGCTTTTTCAATCTTGTTTAATAGTTATGAAACCACAGAGGCCATTGGAGGGAATGGTGTGACAATCATTTGGTTAGGGTTTATAACACAACGTTCAGAAGGTCTGGCCTAGTATATTTCTGATCAAAGACTGTTGTTGGAGTTACAGGTATCCTAGCTTCATACTGACCTAGCAAAAGTCAGCCTCTCGTCTCTAACACACTAATAGGAGGAGAACAAATTCTGTTTCTCCTTGTATTAAACTAGCAATTTTCAAAGCTCTGTGAACACAAAAGGATGTGATACACAAAAGCACTGTGATACACAGCTGAAAGTAAAACTGAATGAGAATCAGAAACAGCACAGGCTGTTTCTCTTTTGTGGTATCTAGTTCAGCGTGTCACCAGAGATACAGTAGGTCCTCAAAAAGACCTGAAAATGCAAGCCATTCTTTATCTCCATGGAGTTAGCAGTTCTATCACTATGTGCAACAAAGTAATTCCTGGGAGTGAACTTCATGCTCTTCAATATATGAGACAATCCTGGAGTCCCCTTCATACTCATGACTACAAATCTGGAACATTTCCAAGGCTGGTGTAGTCTGCACTTTCAAGGTGGACATAGTGGGTGTTTTAGTTCTGTACAGTATGATATACACACATACATACAGCTGGAATCACGTGGCACAAAAGCAGCCCCAGCTCCCTCGTTATACACCAAAGAATCATCATCATTCCTGAAATAGAGGTTGTCACACTGTTTACCTCTCATCCACATTCTTCTAAGAGCAGATTACTGCTGTGTGGTGGCTGTTCCTGCTCAGCCAATACACGGGCTTTGACTCCTTCCATTGAAAAGTCTTTTCTGCTTGTGCATGCAAAAATCAAACTGGGTCTCCATGCAGGAATAAGGAACCTATCTCCACCTATCCCCTGTATTTATTCCAACTGAACAACGGTATTTTGAGATTGTCTAAACATCCCTCCTCGTCAAGTAAGCATGATCTGTAAATTTTGGTCTGGATTTCAGAACCCTATTTACTCCGTCTGGGCATAAAAATGTATGCAGAGAGCAAATATGTGAGATAGGTGTTTGTGTACACATAGGAGTTCATATCTAACTATACATACAATTTCTACTATTACATAGCTCACTCGGAAGTTCTTAACACAAGAGCAGAATTTGGTTTTTAAATGCTTTGCTATGAAAACACAGGGACTTCAGCAAGGGTGGAGATTCTGAATACTTACTTAAGTTTCTGCTCTAAACCACAGACTTTTATTTCCTAATTTAAGTGCCGAGCCAGGCAGGGTGGAAGAAATGAGTTACCTTTTATTTTTTCCTCTGAACAGGCGCATATTTTGCTCCAGCTTTAGCACAGCTACTTCCATTTACAAATTTTCATCACTACTTTAATTTGCCAAACAATTTTGCATATGTTTACATTCTTACCTGATATAATCGAAGTATTCTTTGTGCTGATTCCGATAAAATACAGACAGTTTAAGCATACGGCCTGCAATCACTTCAGCTTTTTCCAAAAGCTGTGTTAAGTGAACTTTTGAATAATCTGAGAAGAAAAGACAATCTGCTAGTACGAGAGAGGAAAAAAACCCACAATGCTCTCCAAAAACTCCATACATAATTGGGAATTGAGCATTAGCAACATACATCATGTAGCAGCTATAGATAACTATCAAGACCAGCACTATTTTCCAGCAGCAACAAGAGACAAATAGCAGGAGCGTGCATGCTTGATCCTCCCTACGAATACCTTGCAAGCTTCTAGTTGCTTCCATCTGGGGATCAAATGTGTTAGAGTGAATATATATCTGGGAAATGCAGAGGAGCTGAGAATTGCCCTGATTTCTGACAGAATTGTTTGATGATCTGTTTGCAAACTAATTAGTAGTCATTTAACTAAAAATAGATTGCTTAGGACCCAGCCTCAGCTGCATCTCAACCAACATAGACTTCACGGAGAGCATGAGTCAGCTCTCAACTTTCATGCAGGCAGACATGTTTATATTGGGTGGCCCTTATCCAACAGAAGGCACATATAGATCAACAACAGGCTGAAGGTATGTGTACTTGTCCTCAAGACAGGTTAGTGGTGGTGCTCAGGCTCTGGAGAATGCAGAGAAATGGGAGCAGCAGAATGTCTTGAACAATCTGCCTGTTAGCAAGCTGCCACTGTCTTTTCTCCAAAAGGGTTTGTAGCCAGTGAGGGGCACACAAATGACCCTGCTCCACTTTGGGTCACCAGTCTCCTTGCCTAGTTTGGCAGAAGCAATGGTACCAGGTACAGCACTTCAATGCATCTAAGCTATTGTAGAACAGAAGGGCACTGCAGCTTCCTTCTTTCTCTCATTAATACACCAATCCTGAGTGCATGCAGAGGCTAAAAGCAAGCATTCACAGTTTCCAAGTGTAAATACTACAAGCCCACCAGGCTACGTCATACTGGTAGATGGCTAATCCATTCATGCAGCAAAGCTAGCCTTAATTGAATATGTCCTATGGTGTATGTTTTCTCAGCAACATTACCTGCTGTGCAAAACTCAATGATTTCACTCCACTCAGAAACAACATAATCGCCATCAACTTGCTTCGACGCAGTCTGCACTGCTACTGTGTATTCTGTTCTTGGGCTCAAGAACCAGTGCCCACGGACTGTCATAGGCAAAGGAACAGCTTTGGCCACCAATTTAGTGGGTACATCCTGATGGGAACAAGAAAACAAAACAACACAAGAATTCAGCACAGCAACCAAGCCAACCCACCATGCCTTTGTCATCTTCCTAACATAACCCCCAGCCCTCATTGGGCTCTTCTGTGTAAATACTAGCTACTTCTCACAGTCCATTAGTGCTGTGAAGTTAACAGGATGGCCTAGGGCAGTGCTCTAAGATCTGCTTAAGTATGCAAGCAGAGCATAAGGACATCTTAAATTAAGAGCTTCTTGTGCTCTCATTGCCAAGCTTTTCTTTCAGTCAGTGTAACCAAACAATTCCTGCCATCGTCAATCAGTCTACCTATATTGCTGCTGTTGGTGTCTTCCAACTTCAACAGAGAAAAATAA